ATACAAAAACACAAAAAACACAAAAATACATAATTCTGTTTTTGAGTTCTTAAAAAAATACAAAAAAAATACTTCAAGTTCAAATATATTCCGTATTTTATTTTTGTATTTTTATTCTGTATTTAATTAAATACCTGAGATCACTCCAAGATACCATAATAATTTCATCTGAAGTATTTGACCGATTAACAGGGGAAAAGGCTCTCTATAAAAATTAAAATAAATAAATTTAATATCTATTTTACACACCTGCCAAAGAATTACTGCTTGCGCATCACAGTCTTGAGAACCATGAACTGTTACCTTTAATTAATAAATAATTTTAAAATTATTTTTATTAATTAAAAATACCATTATAGGCAATGAAAGTGTCCAAACATCAAATTTTCCCAAATTTCCGAGCTAAAAAATTTAATAATAAATATATTATATGTAGTAATGTGAAAGGGGCAAATATGTAGAGTGAAGGGAACAATACAGAAAAATTTAAAAAAATTTTTACTTGAAATGGAGTGATATGAAATAGAAGAGCATATCTGAAATATTTTTCAACATTTAAAAATATTTTAAGAAAATTAATTTTTGTTTACTTTTGATCGGTAGCGGTTTGAGATATTTGACTGGGCTGTAGACTGCCCTTTGCAGGTGGTTTACGATGTGCAATACGTGTTAATTTCTAAATATATAATTTATTTAAATTTTTTGGAATCATGCTCATAGAGCGAAGGGAACATAAAAATAATTAAAATAAAATATCCCATATATTTATTATGAAACAAATTTGTTAATTTTAGTATTAAAGCGAGACGAATCTAATAAGCTTTTTGCATGCTTTTAGGTTCGTGTAAATTTCAAAAAATCTTATAAAAAATCGAAAACCAACAGAATTATTAAATTTTGCAGACATATGTCCACGTTCATCGAGAATAAGCTTTTCAAGATCGTTACTAATCGAGCCAACAATTTTAATATCTTTCTCATTAATTTGGCCAGTCCCCAACATTTTAGCCTCATCTTCAGCTATTATTTTGACAGTAACATTTGTGTTAACTAATTGTTGTTTTATTCCTAGACGGTCTCCAATTAAAAGACGAACCTTTAGAAAAAATATTTTTTTAAAGGATTCAATAATAGGATTCAAAAAACCTCCGCAACAAATTTATGCTGAGTTTTAAGTACGGGATCTGGCTGAACTGCCACAACAAAAGATTGGGATACTAACATACAAAGCATTTTTGTGAGAGTTTCGAGTATTTGGGAAAGGTTATTGATATGTGTTGGTATACAATTATCTGATAATTGTGCTGGCCGCCGTAATAAATCCAACTAATATAAATTTTAAATTAAGAAATAATTAATTTATTTTAAATTTTATGTAATACTAGATTAATGACCATAACTTGATCTAAAACTGAGATATAAATTTTAATTTTTGGTTAGGTGATAAAAGGACACATATCAGAAGAAGAGAAAGGGAGGAGAATCAAAATATTTAATTTAATTTTTATATGAGGTATGTTTACATCAAGAAGGTACTTAAACACCTCCAACATCCTATAAATTTTATTAATAGTCCTATAAAAAAGTCCTATAAATTTTATTAATATATCATAAGAGGAAATTTGTGGCTACAAAATAGCTCTAAATAAAATTTCTAGCTTAAGTTTTCAAAAAGTTATAAATTTCCAAGTACCTGCCAATAAGCATAAGAACGTAATGTCCAATTATTTTCTGCTAAAACTTCAAATCTTAAAAAATATTTTTTTAATTTCCAAAAATATTTATTATTCAAACTCCGATTGAATTTCATCTAATTGTATTTCCCTCTGTTCAAAACCTAATCCAATCTGTGCAAGCTTCTGAGCATTTTTCCATTCCATTAATCGAATTGATATTAAATTATTTTGCATAACAGCAATTAAATGAACGCCGTCATTAAGTCGTTTTACCTGAAAAATTGTTTTAAAAACCAGAATTTTTTTCTGAAAAAAATTAAGAAAAAGGGTTCTAAAGAATTCAGAACCAAGTTTGTTCTCTGTTCATTAAGCTGTTCATAGATTTGCTTTGCTCTTTGCTGCATTCCCGCCCTTAAAATAAAGTTAATTTTACATATTCTTTTTTAAATAATTAACAATGACTGTCTGGCCTGCCCCAACTGATCATGCCTTTGTTCGTGTTCTAACCGGTCAACCATCGATTGGAAATTCTGCAATTCATTTATATCATTTACAAAACGTCCCTGCATATCTTTATTTTCTTCCCATAATAATTGACAGTCTTTGGCTACTAAAGAGAGGGCCATTCTTTGTTGTTGTTCATTAGTGGAGGGAGAAACTGATGAGGTATTAGATGAGTGCATTTTTTAATTATTTAATTAGAATATTAATAATAATTAATTGTTTAGTATTATGTAATAAAAGTTAAGTTTGTAAAAAATAAATGTATTTCCCTCTATTGCCCTCTATAAAAAATAAACTTTTTCAAGTTTGTAAAAATAAAAATAGAATTATGTTTGTAAAATAAAGCTTAATTTTGAAGTTGTGTGGATTAACTTGATATTATGTATACTTAGGTTAAGAACTAGGTTTTAAGCCCCCTAGAGTTAAAAAAGTTGCCGTGCTTCAAAGATGCAAATTTTAGTATTTTACCTCTAAATCCTGCCAACTTAATCCTATTACTCTAATTTTATGCTTAGAAATAGGTAACTCTCTTAGGAACATAAAGAAAAATAAATTACATTTTGAAAACATTTTGCTGAATTTTAATAATTATTTAATGCGCTTAACCTAAAGGGGGCTTAAAACTTAGTTAACAACCTACGTATATTAATAATTTTTAAGTTTGTAAACTTATTTAATATATTTGTAAAGAATATGTACATGTTTGTGTAAAATGCCAAATCTCATTTTTAAAATTATTTAAAATAAAGAAATGTTAACATTTCAAGTTTATTTATTCCTTTCATTGTTGGTAAGATTATTGAGCTGCCACTTAATTTAAATGCTTTTCTAAAGGACCGCGCGCGAGAAAAAAAGGATGAAAAGAAAAAAAGAGAAAGGCTTATATTTACGTGTAAATATAAATTGTAGCCATTTGCTTCAATACGGCTAAATAGTTAAAAAGCGAGAAAAAAATAATTGGGGGAAAAAATAAGGGGAAGCTTTGGCTGTTCCATTAGAACAGCCAATTTAAACATACCTATCTTGAATAGACTTTTTAGAAAAAATTTTTTGGTATCATTCAATAGAGAATAGAATAAGCTACAAAATGAAAATAAAACTAAAATTTTAAAATAAAAAACAATGAAGTTATGATCGAAAAACTAGTAAAAATGTCTTATTTTACTAGTTTTTCGACCATAACTAATTTAATTATGAATCCAAAATTTTAATTATTTTTTCAATTTTGTAGCAAATTTTCTCCTCTATTTAATAATATCAAAAATTATTTTTTAAAACAAAGCGTTGTTGAGTTATAAAAGCTGACAATCACACAGCTAAGTATCGTTGCAAGAGAGGGCTTTCTCGGTTATTTTTAACGTTTATTCTTTTCATTTTTTTTATTTGTTAATATAGAGAAGCTTGGATTAAGCAGATATATGTTAGAAGAGAGGATATATGGCCTTAAAGCTAGAGAAAATTTAGGAAAAAGAGAATGAACAAAAATTATTATTTTAGGCCAAAAATATAGAGAAAATGTAAAAATAGAGAGAATAAATAAATAAATATTTTTGCTACATAAATGACAGATAGATGGATGCTGTTAGTAGAGTTAAAAAATATATTCACTATTTGCCTAGAGCATAGAAACAAGCAACAATATTTAGCGTTTAGAAAGCTTATAGAAAAGTTTAAAGTTGATTAAAAGCCAAAAACAATTAATTTCCTCTTATAATTGTAATAAAAATCAGAAAAAAATAAAATCAGAATTTGTAAATATAATTATTTAATTAATTACAATTGTAAATTATTTATTAAAACTTGAAATTAAAATTACAATTATTAAAACTTAGGTTTATATTAGTTAGAAGCCTACTTTGACAGAAATCTAAGTTAAGTTTGCAAACTTAAGTTTTCTGTTTTTAAAGTTTTGTTTTTAATTTAAATTTTTTAAAGTCCAAATTTATTTAAAAAATATTTATTATTTTTTTTTAAATTAATCATCTCAATTCCAAGTCCATTTATTTTTTTCTAAATATTTTATTTTGCCCTATACACATTCAAAATGATTAATATCTACATATATATTCTCGCAATTTAAATCTAACCGGTTGGAAATAAATATTAATGTCACCATCCCCCCATTGCTCTCACAAACAACGTTCTATTAAACGTGTACACTTTCATTTATTGGCTGGTTTTAAATTATTTAAATATTTAATCAGTAAATAAATTTATTTAAAAAATTATAATAGGTATTTTAATTTCTCGTTCTCGTCTTTTTATATTTTCATTTTTTTAAATTTAATATTTATTAATTCCTCAAACTTAAATTTATTAAAATAATTTGAAAAATAGAAAAATAAACTTAAAATTTAAAACTTGTAAACTTGAAAGTAACTTAAAAGTAAACATGAAAAATAAACGCTTTAATTTTTAAGTTTGTAAAAAATATTTATTTATTTTCAAGTTTGTAAAAATGCTTTTCAAATTTAATCTTAAGTTTATTTTAGTTACTTACTATTTCAAGTTTATTTTTAAGTTTTAAACTTATCAAATATTTATTTATTTTTAAGTTTGTAAAAACTTTATTTTCAAGTTTAATCTTAAGTTTATTTTTTAATTATTTATTTCAAGTTTATTTTTAAGTTTTAAGCTTATTTAATATTTATTTATTCTCAAGTTTGTAATCTTGTATTTAAAGTTTATTTAAACTCAATTAGTTTATATATGTAAATAATAAACTTGAAAAACAATTCTTGAAACCTTTCCTATAAAATAAATTAATATTTTATGTCTCTAACTACTAAATTAATTAATTAATAATTTATTAACAATAAAATGAATGTAGAAGTAAATAAATTAATAAAATTTAATTATTAATTATTATTTTAAAGACAACCAATTTTCTAAATCCTGCCTTGAGAGAGTGTTGTTGTTCTTCAAGCTCTCCTCTACCTTTACAACGTATTGTTCAATTATTAAGTGTTGGGGCATTTGAATTAAGAAAACAAATTAATGAAAAGATTAAATGTGATAGACTTGGAAATGGAGTAGAAGAGAAGGAAAATGAACAAGAAAAATATTTGAATAAATTGATAAGGAATGAACTATTGCTTATTGAGGTGTTTAATTTAATTTAAAAGGGGGGCTTAATTAAAAAGAAAGAGAGAATTTTTAATAAAAGATATGCAAACTTAAAAACAAATAAAACTTGAAACAAACTTAAAAAACTTAAGTTTAAATATATTTTTATTTTTATTAAGTTAGGAGTTGTAGACACTCGAAGATTAACAAAATGGATTAATAAATTTAACGATATTTACATGAAACAATTGTTAAATATGGAATTGTATTTTGTAAATAATTTTGGTAAGGGGCGTCTGTTAAAGATTTTTTGATAATTAATTTTAGCCGACCAACTCGAAAATCTGTGCCTTAAATTAAATACTCATAGTCTACCACAAGTGTGTAAACCTAGGGCTCCTTTTTTGTCGTTAAATGGCATGTCAAACACTCTTGGAGATAAAGTAGTGTATCAAGCAAGATCGGAAGTTACAGCACGTGTTGATATTGCTGGTAATTTTTACAAGGGAAAATTATAAAAAATTAAATTAAAAATAAGTGTGTTTTAGGAGTATATTTTAAAAAAACTTATTAAGTATTTAAGTTTGTAAATCTAAGTTTAAGTTTGTAAAATTAAGTTTAAGCTTGTAAATTATTAAGTTTGTAAAATTAAAGTTTATTTATTTTTAATTTAAACAAAAGGCGGCTGGACAGACACCCCTCCAATCACCTATCAAATGGGTAATATATTGCCAGCTGTACTTAGCCTTTCAATACTTGTTAACGGAAAAGTAATGATTAAATATTGATAATTTGTAATATTTATAGAGGCCAATTCGTTGTAAATGTTCACGCCTGGAAATGCTTCAAGGAATTTTTTATAGAGAAAATTCTTTTGGGGAACAGCAACCTTTGCTGGTTTTTAAGATTATTTGTTTTTAAATAACAATTTTTGTTTAGCACTTTCCAACAGCCAAACAAATATTCAAAAATTGCTGTAAACCTTCAGAACCAGGCAATAATCCAATAGCTCCCGTATAAATTAGAATTTAAAAAATAAAGGTTCCCTTCTGTGTGCTATTTTGGTTGTTGCCGGTTTTGTACGTGAGGAATTGTGGGGTGGAGAAAGGCATTATTTATTTGATTTTGCCGGACCTGGACGAGGCTTACTTATCGAAACAGAGTAAATTGCTCAAAATTCTCCCCGCCTAAATTTTCTTTCAGATCAGATTTGCCTCACGGATCTGGCCTCGGTTCTAGCAGTATACTTGCTGGAGCACTTTTATCTTCTCTCCACAAACTATCAGGAAATAAAGAACAACAATTAAAAGAAGACAAATTAATTAATCAAGTATTGCAAATAGAACAATTACACACTTCTGGGGGAGGTTGGCAAGACCAATTGGGGGGTTGTATTTCTGGAGGTGCTAAAATTGGTTGGGTAGAATCAGTTGGGGAAAGAAAATGTTGTTGGCGTTCTGTCCCGCTTGGAGGGGAATTAATTAAAGAATTCTCTAAAAGATTTGTTTTGTTATATACAGGCAAAACTAGATTGGCTAAAACTTTATTAAAGGTTTTTTTTGGAAGAATTATTTGAAAAAATTTAATTTTTATAGCAAGTTTTGTTGAGTTGGGCAAGACAAGAACCACAAATATTAGCAACTGTTGAAAGACTTGCTAAAGGAGCTTGGAAGGCTGAGAAAATGCTTATTGAGGGTAGGGAACAGGGTGGTGACATTTCCACCAAAACACTCAAAAATGTGGCAAAAAATAAAGCATTATTTTAAAAACTTAAAAATATTTAAAGAGAATTTTGAAAGGCCAAGAAGCTACATATTTTTTCCATTTTTGCTTACAAAATTAAAATTTTAAAAAATATTACAAAATGGTCAAAAATAAGGCGAATGCCCTATAAATAAGGCAAAAGGGTGACCCTGGTGGGGAATTAAACCACATGTGTTTTTAGTTTTGAAATTTAAACTTTTTTATATTCTGTCCGTTTGAAAAGCCAAACAAAAGAAAAATCTTTAAAATTAAGGCAAATTCCCCAGCGAAGTATGTACAGAATACAATGAACTGAAAAAAATCTTTGCATCAAATACAGAGCCTTCTCAAGTCACAGAATTAAAGAGTTTAATGGAAAAAGAAAATTTAATCGAAAGTGCTTGGATGGCTGGGGCAGGTGGTGGAGGGTTTTTGTATATTTGGCTTAAACAAACAGAAAATAACGTTTTGGAAAAATTAGAAAATTTATTAAAAAGTGATGGACGTTGGAAGGAAATGAATATTTGGAGGGTTGAATTAGAAGATAAACAACCTTTAATTGTTAAGTAATTAATAGAGTAGGGTTGGGGTTTTCGAGTCGGGCCGACGTCCGAGTCATTTTTTACGGGCCTCATTTTTATCGGCCCGGCCCGACCGAATCTTTTTCGGGCCAAAATTCGATGCCCGACTCGATCTTACGGACCGGGCCGGGCCCCCAACCCTAAAAGAGAGTAATGATGTAGGACGCCCCCCCCCCTTTCTTCTTTTCCTTGCGAATTCTATAGATGGGCAGACGATAGTCAAGATCAAGGCAATTTTCAGAGTTTTGCATCAGAACCGAAAATTAAGAGGATAATGGGTAATAATAATGTGGCGATTTGGTCCCCTTCTTTCCTTTCTACTGTGAACCTCTCACTTTAATATCAGATTTTTTGTGCCAGAGAGGTGACATTATAATGAGGTCCTGTTGTATTTCCTTTACTTTACCCAGGAAAAACTCAAAAATAATATGTACATATTTACCTATTCAAATTTCTTTAAATAAAATAGAAAAGGAAAAAGGGGCTTGATCGTTGTTATATACAGTGCCGGAAAAAAGATAGGGACACGGCCGTTAACTAACTTTTTCTCGATTATTTCCTTCCAATTAAGTTTTATTTTTTCTGGCACTGTATTACCTGACAATATAAATAGTGATATTTTTTAATTTATTTTAATATTTTTAAATGTAAATAGATAAATCGATTTTTATTTTAATTATTTTGATAAAAAACTTTTAATCAAAAATTACCTCAAAAACTCAAAAATAACCACCAAAAATCACAAAAAAATTTTCAAAATAAGATGGGTTGCATATTTATTTTTTAAAAAATTTTTAGAAATGATTTTTGAGATTTTCAAGGCCAAATAAATTAATTCAAAAACAAGTCACAAATAACAAACATTCATTCACCCGTTTATTCTTCTTTTTTTTAATAATCCTCACTAATTATTTCTTATTTTTTTGGTGAATGTGAACGAGTACGTTTTGCAATTGGGGCATCCTCCTCATCTTCTTCCTTCTCTTTTAATCGCTTCATTATTTTTGTTGTCTTTTCTTCTAACAGTTTTGTATTTTCATCGAGTCTAGCCATCTTTTCTCTTAATCTTGACATTTTATCTTCAACGAATTCAATGATTTCTTGTGTCGAACGCTTAATTTAAAATATAAAATAATTATTTTTTAACAATTTAAACCTCCATTTCTTTAATTACTTTTTCCAATTCAACGATTTTTACCTAAAAATATTTTTTAAATAAAAAACAACTCAACAACCCACCCATTTTTCTTTAAAATTCTTCCCAGCAAATAAATAATTGAGGAAGAAGTCAACAAAACAATAATACGTCTTCCCCACAATTTTTGACATTCTTGTATTGACTTTAAACACACCGATTTGGTATTATAACAGTTTACCGACAAATTCTCCATCATTGAATAATCTGTAGCTTTGAATATATCAGAGAGTAATTCAACAGGTAATTTTTTATTTTGATGTTTTGATTGAAGCATTATTAAAAATAAATTAAAATTAGCTAAAGAATTTTTCGGACAATTTTTGTGGACTTATTCGAAAATTTGTAAAGCATTAAATTTTTAATTAAAAAAGTCACAGAAATTGTCATTCGTTAATAATATTTAAATTGAAATAAAAGTATTGAAGGCTTTTTGGCATTTTGTCATTTATCGGTTGGGGTCAGTTGAGCGCGGCCGGTTGAGCGCCCCTTGTTATTTGGCCTTTTGAGCGCCAATATTTTTTTACACTGATAAAATTTCCGAGAAAATGGTTTTAGGAAAAAAGGGTTTCCGGAAAATGGTTTGTTATTTCTCCCTTTCTGTTTATCTGTCATGGCCAATACAAGGCATTTCAACAAATGCCTTGTATTGTTGATTTACTTTCGCTGATGGAAAATACTTTTACAGAAATGTTTGTTATTTCTTAATTTCAATCTTTCGCTGTTAGGGGTAATAATTATTTGAAGGAGGGTAATAAAAACGGAGTTTTTCAAATAACCTCTTACAAATTCAAGATAGGCAGTTGGTGACCGGTTGCCAATCGGCACTCTCCGTTTTATTTTAATCCAAATTTTAAAACCGGTTTTCGGTTTTGAATTCTAGTCAAATATCGGGCTTTGTTTTGGGGGGATTTTAACATTTTTCATTCACATCTAACTTACCGTTCTCTAACCGATTATTAGAAAAATATTGAAGATTGCCAAATATTTTACAAAAAATTTATTCCAAAAACACATTTATACAACATATAAATGAATGCAAGATAACAACAAAGGAAAATATGAGTTTAGATATTATATTCAGTTCATTTTTATCTCTTTAGAATTCTTCCCCCTCTGTGGCAGGTTCCTCCTCGGCCGTCTCCACCGGTTCTTCAGTGCGCGTCCCACCATCCCGACTCGGTGTTGCAACCAGTTTCTTTCCCGTATCATCAACCGGAAATGGCTCGGACTCAACGTCAGGCACGTGATATACTGAAAATTAAAGAATTACCCAAAGACTCCTTTTCACTTATTCGAGTACCTCTCTTCGGCTTCCGTGGTTCTTCCTCCTCAATTGGAATGAGCTTACACCGCTTATTCCAGAAGCCTTTAGCGCGCGTAAGTATTTCACACACGTCCTCGGCTGCGGTCGAGATCAGCTTCAGTGGAGGGGCATCCCGTTCGAGCTTGAGTACCACATTTTTCTTTTCAGCGATACTCTGTCGGATAGCCTGTAAATTAAAGGATTGAAAATTGTTTACAAAATTACTTGTAAAAATAACACCTTTTTAGCTCCAGAGACGTCGTCTTTCACTTCCTTGCCGTTAACGTCCCGCAATATGTCGCCTGGAAGGATGTACTGCGCAGCTACACTGCTTGGCTCAATGTGCGAGACGATGATATTAGATCCCTGGAATTGAAAGCTATTATTAATGACAAGCCCTCATTACTCAATCAATTACCTTCTTCTCCACCGTTATCCCAATTGGAAGATCTTCTCGCCATCTGATCTGCAGCTGGATGAAATTGTGGCTCGGGTTTCGCCTGATTTGTGTGACCTTGAGGTTGATCATTCTGAAGTAGTCGTCCCTGCGGAAACGGATGAACAAAGGTTTGGGTTCAGCGCCAGAATACTGGGTTGCTGCCGTGAAGTCTTCTGCCGAGTTTATGGCCTGAAAAATGGACGTTTAAACCGAGTATTACCCTAATAATCGCAGAAGCTTACCCGTTTGTCAATCTGCAAGATCCAGTCTCCAGGGAACAACCATCCAAAGAAGTAGGAAAAGATGTCGATCTTCTGTATCCGCGGCGGCGAGCTCCCACTGAAGAACGTCAGTCCCATGTCCGAGTCTTGGATCTCGATGGTATCCTCATGCTCATGAATGTACTTCTTAGCTGAAAGAGAAAAAAAGTTAGTTTAGAAAACAACCCTTGTATGATACATCCTCGTTTCTCGGCCATTGCACTGAGACGCCAAAGCAAGAGTGAGCAGCACAGCGACAAACCAAAAGCGGCCTTTAGTTGAATTGAGCACAGCGTTGTCGTCACGAAGTGCAGTGAGTTGTAGTGTTGGTTTATGCATAATTTATTAAGGCGCTTTTATACTAACCCGGACTACTTTTGCTACCCAAGACAAAGAAAATTTTGTGCGATATTTTTTTCTCAACCCTTGACATCCCCGTTTTACATATAAACGCAGTTTTTCTAAGATCATTTTACAAATTCCGTCTTTTATTATTAACTGGCACCCTCGGATTTCTGTTAATCCTGATTTTAAAAACCGGTCTTCTGGTTTGTGTTTTAGATAACTGGTTATGGTTGGGGAGAATTTTTTTTAAACAGTCACTTATATTTCCAAAAAATTTTCGGTTTTAAAACCGACTTTGAGCAACCCTAAATTAAAATCTTTATATCCCCCGAAAAGTATAGTTTAGCCTAAAAAAGAATAAATTTTTTGAAATTAATGTAAACACTGAACTAAAAATTTTGAAAGATTAAAAAAAGTATTCTATTAATTAATTGTGTAATGGCACAACCGTTAAAAATAATTAGAATAAATTTTATAAAAAAGTTCTTCAAAAATTATTTTACATAACAAAATAAATGAGAACAATCTTCCTTTAACTTCATTGTTCGAAAACAATTAAATTCTACATATTTTTTATTATTCTTAAGGTATAAATACTCGAATTGTCTTTGGGTTCTGAAGTAGTAAAATAAATTTTGACTTTTGGATTGTGAATATTTTTAATTAAATAACTGGTAGATTTTGAATCATTTGAATTTTTAACTTCTTTTGCTCTTTCACTCAATTTAAAATTTGGTTTAACAAGACATTTTAGGCGAATATCAGGCACCATTTTTGAACAGTCTTTAGATGTTGTTATATACTTAAATTTAAATTTAATTTAAAAAACCGGAATAACTTACTTCAACAAAAAAATTATAAAGTTGTGACGACCAATATGGACCTAACACAAACCGAACTTGATTTAATTTATCACCTCTATTTGTTAAAATATTAAGTAAAATATCCATATATTGCCCAACATGGTTAACAGTTGTAAACTCAATCACAAGAAATTCGGAAATAATTAAATGATCTAAAATGATGCCCAGCTTATTTCCACAAATTTCATTATTAGAAGAAATATATGGGCGTTTAATGTTAAATTTAAGAGTTTTGTTGGTATAAAATAATATATTTAGCATTTCTGGATTAAATACACATTTATCAAAATGGGCATATTCAAAAGCACATTTAAATAGTCGTTCTAACCAGCAACGAATAATAATCATTTCTTCAATATTTTTTGGAATGTTTGGCAATTTTAGAACATAATGAGGTTTTGTGTCAACTAAATAGAAAAATTAACTGAAAAATTGTATGAATCAGATGAGATAATTTGTGCCCTAATTAGGGACTAATTTCCACCTAAAATTAATGTAATATGTACAAGTATTTTTAGACCTGTCTTTATACATAAAATTAAGTTTCTGTCATATTCATACAACGGAATTGATTTAGATATCGCTCTCTTCCACTGAAAAAATAAAATTCTAAAATTTAACTAAAAATTAATTTCACCTTCTTTTTAAGTTGACGATTCAAAGTAAATTCAAAAATTCCAGATTGAGGTTCAATAAATTTATATGAACGTAACCATAGAAGATGGTCATAATCAATCTAAAATTAATTTAAATTAAAAAAAATAAATATATTTACTAGTAAAAGTTCGCTAAATTTTATTCGAAAGCATAATTCTCCCTCATATTTGTTAATTAAATTTCGAAAATAAAAATTTGTTTGTTTAACAGAAAATATTTGGTTGAAATCAAGACATTTTAATATATCTAGTTGAACTTCGAGTGGTAAAGAAAACATTTGAATGTGACCTAGAAATACAAAATGGAGAAAGTTTGCTATTTAGAACCAGAAAAATTGCAGTTTTATTATGGAAAATGAGGCAGAAACTAAATGAGAGTATTATTTATATCACTTACAAAGAGGGCGAGGCAAATTAGAGGCGGTCTTTTCTTTTAACTATAACTTCTTTCATTTTGAATGAAGACCGATAATCCTTTTTTTCCTGGATTCCTAATACTTTAAGAATTTTTGAACCAAAATCGCCTTTAAATTTTATAATTTAGTCTGATTAATCATCACTCAATAGTAAAATTTTTTGGATAAAATTACGCCTGGATTCATTGATATGAAAAATTAATATATAATTCGAATCAGCTCTTCCATCTGCGTCAAAGCCAGGCTTCTTCCACGTATATGAACCGAGATATGGTTCACTGAATGATAAATTAAAATAATTTTTGGCAAATAGGAATTTTTTGTGTAAACAGATTTACGAGAAAAGAAAATAGTAAGTAGGTAATTGACAAATACTCGAAGCTTTTTTATAAATAAGAAATGTCAAATTTTTAAACAAATCAATTTATCTTTAAAATTACTAAACTTATCATTTCAAATTTTTATATATTTCTTAAAGGACAAATAAAATAAATAACAACCCCCACCCCTCCCATTAATTTCTTTACTATTTTGTAATATATTGAGAACGAGTACGTTTAGCAATAGGGCCATTCTCGTCTACTCCCCTCTCAGCTTTTCGTCGCTTCAAAATTTTTTCTTTCGTTTCTTCGAACAATACTTCTTCGCATTCAGCCATTTCTTTTTTTAAATATGAAATTTCATTTTTAAAGAATTTATAACCTTGATGAGCTATAAACTTAAAAATTAATTAAAATAAAATATATTTTTATTTAAATAATTTAACCACAAGTTTAGCAATCCCTCTTCTTCTTTGAAATATTGTTGCCTAAAAATATTTTTAAAAAATATTTTTTATTTAAAAAACTAATGCTAACCCTTCTTTCTTTAAAATCCTTCCCAACAAATTTATGGACAATTGAGGAAGAAGTTAATAAAATATTAGAATAATAACTCCAGAAATTTCCAAATTCTTCTTGTTTTAACACTAAACACAACTTTCTAAGTTTAAATAATAATGTTTCCATCATTGCATAATCTGTAGATTTAAATATATCAACAAGCAATTCTAAAGGTAATTCTTTATTTTGATGTTTTGATTGAAGCATTATTAAAAATTAGTTTTAATATTCCGGATTGCTGAAGGAATTTTGTGGAATTTTTGTAGGGACTTTCTAAAATTAATTTAGGGTAGATGATAGTTTATCTAGGCACTGAATTTAATTTAATATTAAAAGAAATTTGAAAATACAAGATGATAAAATAAAATTTTTTAGCTTTAAAAATATTAAAAATCTTAAATTTTAAAATTAAATGTTCAAAAAAATATGAATAAATTTTAAAAATTAAATATTTTAATCAAAATTTGCTTCTTTACAAAACAAACTTTTTAAATCAAATTTAATCGTAAATTTTGTTCCTGTTAAATTCTATTCTTCTATTTTTCTAATTTCAAAGCAAAAAATCGACCCATCATCAAGCAACTTTCCCTTCCATAGTGAAAAACGCAATTTTGGATTGTAAATATTGGAAATTTGGTAATTGGTAAATTTTACATCATCCAATTGATAATTTCCAATTTTTTCTGCTCTTTCACTCAATTTAAAATTTGGAGAATCAGAAAAATCAAGAACAAAATTAGGCACAATTTTTGCACAGTCCTTAGATGTTGTTATATGCTAAAATTCAAATTTATTTTTAACTTCGTCTTGTAAAAATACAACTACCGTATACCCTTCAATAACTACCCTGGGTAATTATTGTTTCGACCTTCCACTGGAGGGAGTAATTAATCGAGGGAATTAATATATGAGGTTTGAAATTTGAACGTGTTTTAGGGGGGGGGTTGATTACTGTTTCAATCATCGCTGGAGAGGGTAATTAATGGAAGTTGTGTAATTATTTGAGGGAGGGCAATTAATACAGGTTATACGATACTTACTTTTATAACAAGATCATAAAGCCTTGTCAACTTGGAACCTTCTAAATAAATTTTTGGGAATCTATTTCCTTCATTTATTAAAATATTAAATAAAATATTTATATGTTCTTCTGTAATGTTAACATAGTCTAAATTAATATCAATATATCCAAGAATTGATAAATGATTTGACACGAATTTCAAAACATTTTCAAATGTTTTATTGTTAGCATATAAATTTGCTCCTTGAATTTGAAACTTAAGAGGAATTGTTTTGTCGTTATCAAATAATATATTAATCATTTCTGGATTAAATATATTTCTATAAAAATGAGCATATTCAAAAGCACATTTAAATAATTGTTCAAGCCAGCAACGAATAATAATCATTTCTTCGATATTTTTTGGAATGTTTGGTAATTTTAAAATATAACAACGAGAATTTTGAACTAAACAGTAAAAATAAATTTAAAAAATTTTGGGATCAACTGAGATAGAAAATTAAGGTTATAATTATGGTCTAATTTGTTCCTAGATTGGCTAAAAATTTATTAACTTATTGGTATTTATTAGCGGCCTAAAATTCCACGACTTTTTTGGGATGGAGAACAATCCTACCAACATTTACTGAAAGAAAATAACTCCAACTGACCTAACCTACATAATTACTTTACATACGAATAATTTTACCTTTTGTCCTCATACAAAGTAATTTTCTGCCATCGAAAAACAGCGGAATTGATTTATCAATCGCTACTTGCCACTAAAAAATAAATGTAGTAATTTAGGTAATTAAAAACTAATTTGACCTTTTCCCTGAGTTGATCATTTAAAGTAAATTCAAAAACACCAGATTCAAGTTTAATGGATTTATATGGGTGTGATTGACAAGAAAAGTTGTGGCTAATCCAAAATTAATTAAAATAAAAAAAAGTTATTTTTAATAAATATTTACTAAAAAAAGTTGATAGAATTTCATTTTTGCCAATTTTCCCTCATATTTATTAATTAAATTTCGAAAATAAAAATTTGTTTGTTTAAAAGAATATAATTGGTTGAAATTAAGGCATTTTAATATATCAAGTTGAACTTCAGGTGGTAGAGAAAACATTTTCTGAAAATTTATTAGTAAAATTAACTGAAAAATTCTAGAATACTTTATATTAAATAAAATGTATTTAAAAATAAGTAGCTTTTAACATGCTAGACGATAATTTAAAAATAAATTTTATAAAAACAAAAAAAAGGTTCTTTATTAATATCCCGCCCCCCACCCCTATTTGAGTCTCAGATTATTTTTCCTTTTTTTGCTGTCAATCATTTATTTTTTCTCCCTTTTTAATGTCAATCATTTTCTTCCCTCAAATATAAGACACCCAAAAGGGCGCGCGGCCATAAAGGCGCAAAGCCATAACTTGCTTCATGGTTTTCGAACCTTACAAAAATTAATATTAAACGATTCGTTTCATCGAGCTAAAGGGATTGATAACAAAAATGACAAGGGCCAAAAATATTATGTACAGAAGGTTATGGCTTTGTGCCGTTATGCCTGCGCGCCTTTTTGGGCTGTACTCCTCAAATATCTTAAGTTTCTAACTTGCCTTTTACTTATAATTAGAGACCGGATTTTTATGCAAATGCATATTTTTTTTGCAAACTTGGCATGATGTATAATGCACAAAAAACACTGTTTCCGCATGTTTTGAAAACTCTAGAGGGGGTTTCTATTTGCATATAATGCATATTTTTGCATATTCCGGCCTTTGGTGCATAATGCATATTTTACTGCATATTTTAAGGTTTTTGGGGAAAATTACTCGAAAATTGCCCAAAATCCTACCAAAAATTGAAAATTTAGTAAAAATTTAGGAAAAAATTTGTAAAAATTACAAATTTTGTAAAAAATTTTTTTGTTTTTGGGCACGACCCAAAAATGTCCCATACCCATAATGTCTCACGCCCAAAACGTCCCATCCCAAAATGTCCCACCACCAAAACGTCTCATCTCAAAATGTCCAATATATTAAAAATACTTAATTTGTACATTTAAAATGAGAGTAAACTTAATAAAAATAGGTGTTTTAATGTTTTTTATTCAAAAAAATCAAAAATTCTAGGTAAAAATTGTATTTTTGCTGCATAATTTTGTGAATATTTTGGTTTATTTGCATATTTTCGTGCATATTTTGTCAATTTTTTATGCATATTATAGTGCATATTTTGCATTTTTTAATGCATAAATATCCGGTCTCTACTTATAATATTCGAGGGAAGAAAATGATTGGCATTAAAAAAGGAGGGGAATAAATAATTGACAGCAAAAAAAGGAAAAATAATCTGAGACTCAAATAGGGGTGGGGGGCGGGATATTAATAAAGTAACCAAAAAAATAATTTAAAAGAATCTCAACAAAAAACACAATTTTTAAAAAAAAATCTTGTTGTCCAGTCTATTCTTTTATTTTTCTAATCATAATAGAAAGAGTCGATCCATCCTCAATTAATTCTTCAAGACAAAATGAAAATCGCAATTTTGGATTGTAAATATTGCAAATTTGGTAATTTGTAAATTTTACACCATTTAATAACTTTATTTTAATTTTTTCTGCTCTCTCATTTAATTTCCACCTAGGAGAATCAGAAAATTCAAACATAATAACAGGCACAATTTTTGAAGTCCTCAAATGTTAATTGAATATACTAAAATATTTAATTTTAATTAATTTATTTGTAATAGAGACCGGCGCGGGACGAGATTCCGAGGGGATTTTCCGGGATCCCGAAATCCCGGATTTTTCGGAATTTATCCCTCAGGATCCCGGTATCGGCTAAGAAAAAAATCCCGACTCGGGACCCCAGAAGTTCGATTTTGCCGGTCTCTAATTTGTAAATTTGGTTTACTTGTTCAATATAATTATAAAGAGTTGTCATTCTGAAGCCTAACAAATAAATTTTTGGGAATTTATTTCCTTCATTTATTAAAATATTGAATAAAATATTTGTGTGTTCTTCTGTAATGTTAACTTGTTCCAAATTAATATCAATAAATTCAGAGACCGATAAATGATTTAAGCAAAAATTCAAAGCATTTTTAAATGATTTATTGTCGGTAGAAAGTGTTGGTTTTTGAATGTTAAATCGAAGAGGAATTGTTTTGTCGTTATCAAATAATATATTAATTAATTCTGGATTAAATAAATTTTTAAAAAAATAAACACGGTCAAAAGCACAATTAAATAATTGTTCTAACCAGCAACGAATAATAATCATTTCTTCAATATTTTTTGGAATGTTTGGCAATTCTAAAACATAACAACGGGAACCCTCGTCAACTAAATATTAAAATTTTTTGGGTAAATTTAGAAAGAAAATTTGGTTCTAATTTTTTACCTTATTGGCAGCGGGGATATTTTGAAACAAAAAATCTTCGAAAATCGGAAATCGAAAGAAAAATAACCTCGATAATTTTGAAACAACTCTGCTTCTTGTTACTTATTAGCGCCCTCACATTCCCCTAAATTTGGGTTGGGGAACGACCACAAGTAAAGATTGCCATTTTTCAGAAAGAAAATAGAATTAGGAGAGTTCTCCTGTTACTTTACACCCAAATAATTAAAACCTTTTGTCCTCAAATAAAATACTTTTTTGCCAAATTCATCTAAATACAGTGGAATTGATTCAGCTATCGCTAGTTGCCACTAAAAAATGTTTTTATAATTTAATTAAAAATTAACTTTACCTTCTTTTTAAGTTGATCATTTAAAGTAAATTCAAAAACCCCAGATTGAGGTTCAATTTTTCTATATTGATTTGTTTGGTAATTCAAGTCACGGGTAATCCAAAATTAATTTAAATAAAAAAAGATTAGTTAATAAATATTTACTAGCATGAGGCTATCAAATTCCTTCCGAGCCAAGCTTCCCTCATATTCATTAATTAAATTGTGAAAATAAAAATTTGTTTGTTTAACAGAAAATAATTGGTTGAAATTAAGACATTTTAATATATCGAATTGGACTTCATTTGGAAGAGAGATCATTTTTAAATTAAAAAAAATTGAATATCTAAAATTGAATAATCACTAAAAATTAAATTTTTGAACATTTTTTAAAAGTAAATTGGCAATCAACCAACTAAAAAATAATTTAAATATTTAAAAAAATACTAAAAGCGATTTAAACGGAAAAATAAATGAAAATAATATATTTGTAAAGCATATAGCTATTTAATTCCTAAGGCTGTGCAGTAGGCGGCGTGTTGTGATGGCTAACACATCAGCCCGATCTAGTGAAGATGCTGGTTCGCTCCCAGCCGCCGATTGCACTAGCTGAAAGAGAGAAATAGCTATAGCCCAGCTGCTTTACTTTTTTAAAGATATTAAAGTCCATTAAATTTTATTCTTTTATTATTCTTAAAGTATGAATATCTCCAACTTTTTTCTTTTCTTCAAAATACAAATAAAATTTCGTTTTTGGATTGTAAATGTTGGAAATTAGATAACTGGTAGATTTTAGATCATTTGATTTTTTAACTTCTTTTGCTATTTCACCTAATTTAAGATTTCTTGGTCTAGTATAACCCAAACAAATATTAGGCACTATTTTTGAACAGTCTTTAGATGTTATATACTAGAAATTTAATTTTAATTTCGTCCTGGAAAAAAGACAACTTACTTTTATAAGAAGATCATAAAGCTTTCTTAATTTGAAGAATTCAAAACGAATTTTTGGGAATTTATTTCCTCCCTTTATTAAAATATTTAATAAAATATTTGTACGTTCCCCTGTAATGTTAACATCTTTAAAGTCAATATTGAGGGATTCAGAGACTGATAAATGATTTAAAGAAAATATCAAAACATTTTCAAATATTTCATTATTAGCATATAAATTTGCTTGTTGAAGTTGAAATTTAAGAGGAATTGTTTTGTCGTTATCGAATAAAATATCAATCATTTCTGGATTAAATATATTTCTATCAAAATAGGCACATCCATAAACACATTTAAATAATTTTTCCAGCCAACATCGAGCAATAATCATTTGTCTAAAATTTTTTGGAAAGGCTGGCAATTTTACAATATAGCAACGGGAATTTTTGCCACCTAAATAGAAAAATAAAAATTTTTGGGTCAATCGAGATAAGAATTTACAGTTGTAAAAAACTAGGGTCTACCTTGACAAACATTAATTTATTACTTATTGGTACTTATTTAGTTAAGTTCCAGTGAAAGAATTGTTGACTTCTGCAGAAATATACAATATAGACCAACACCAACATAAACCAACATAAATACAAGAACACCACTGAATTAATACTGACCAGGACTAATAAAACTAACCACTTCTACACAAAACAAAATATTTTTAAGCCTTTCCATTATGTAAGACTATTTATTTTATAAGCAATTTAAACCTGTTGTCCTCACATAAACTAATTTGCTGACTAATCTATCCAAAAACAGTGGAATTGAACTAGCTATCGCTGCCTTCCACTGAAAAAATAAATTTAAAATTTAATTAAAAATTAATTTATAACCTTCTTCCTAAGTTGATCATTTAAAGTAAATTCAAAAACTCCAAATTGAGGGTCAATGTGTCTATATGGACGTTCCCCAAGAAGAAAGTCACGTTCAATCCAAAATTATTTTAAATGAAAAAAGTTTAGTTAATAAATCTATTTACTAGTAAGAAATGGTTGAATTTCATTTTTGCCAATTCCCCCTCGTATTTATTAATTAAATCGTAAAGGTAAACATTTGTTAATTTAAAAGAAATTAATTGGTCGAAATTAAGGCGTTTTAATATATCAAGTTGAACTTCGAGTGGTAGAGAAAACATTTTAATGTCTGAAAAAAGAAAGGAAAATTTAAATCCAAAATTGGAAAATTGCAGTTTTATTGTGGAAAATGAACGAAAACTAAAATGAGGCCATAAAACAAGCCTTTTATCTTCTCAAAGATTAAACACTTCCAGCTTTTAAAAGAGCATTCGAGTGAAACAAAATTCGAAGAAAGATCAAATATCGACCAAAATTTGGCTGTCGATCAACTGCCGCGCTCAACCGACCCCAAAAATTTTAATTAAATACGTTTGGGTGCCAGCAGTTGAGTGCCCACCCCCATTGTGGGCGATTGTCTTTGTCATTTGTTTTTTTCTTTCACGAGATAATTTTTCTTAAAAATTGTTTTTAGTTTTGTAAGCATTTCTAATATAAAATGGCTAATAATAACAACAGAATTTTGCTCAAATCGAATGATGATGAAACGTTTGAAGTTGATAGAAGTGTTATTCGTCTTTCTACAACTCTGAATACTATGTTTCAAGGTTTTTTGTTAAACTTTTTGTTGGTATGGGCGTTACAATTTTTAATTTTGTCAAGTTTTTTTTAGTTTTTATATTCAGTATAGAGGTAGGTTAGGGGTATTTTACTAATTATTCCCTTTGAATCCTTCGTTTGTTTGTACATGCAGTGGGCATGGGCATAAAATAAACCGTTTTTACCTCCGGTTAGTACGGCGAAAAGAGGAAAACCATATGAGTTATTTAAAACCCAGCCCTAAGTGAAGTATAGGTTTAGTTGTATCAAAATTTACTCCCAAGCGTTTTTGAATTCTTTATTCTTTGGCCGTCTGTCAAGGCTCCGATCAAATTAGCAAATTTAATTCCCAAAATTTTAAAATAATCGATATCCACTTTATATTCATCGTTTGATGGGGCTCATATTTTGCCAAAAAATAACAATTTTTCGAATTTAAGATCTCGGAATGGACCAATCAGATGCTAACGATGCAATGCTTCAAGAGCCTATTCCATTGGCTAATGTCAACGGAGCTGTTCTTCGTAAGGTTATTGCTTGGTGTCAGCACCATAAAGACGGTTCTTTTTCTAATTTTGTAAAATTAAAAATTCAATTTAAATTAAAGATCCTGTTGTAACCGACGATGCTGAGAGCAGGGAGCGCCGCACTGACGATATTCCAAGCTGGGATGTTGAATTTCTTAAGGTGGATCAGGGGACGCTTTTTGAGCTTATTCTGGTAAAGATTTATTTTAAATTTATTTTATTAGTTAAAAGTTGGGTTTTAGGCCCTTTAAGTAGAATACCCTGACGGCCCATTTCGCTATTCACGGCAACATTTATTTTGAATATTTTTGGGATGTTAAATGTTCTTATCTTTCTTGTTCCATATATTTACTCCTAATAGTGTTCTCAAGCATAAAATCCATCCAAAACCGGAGCTATTTTGTCTAAAACTATTTATTTCCACGACTATTGACTATTTTTAGGCAGCCAATTATTTGGATGTTCACGGTCTTTTGGATGTTGCTTGCAAGACAGTTGCAAATATGATTAAAGGAAAGACACCAGAAGAAATTCGTCGAACATTCAATATTAAGAATGATTTTACTCCAGAAGAGGAAGAACAAATTCGTCGAGAAAATGCTTGGTGTGAAGATTAGAAAAGGGGGAGAAGAGAAGAAATAAAGGAAAGGGAATATTATAAGAGAAGAGGTTTTTTAAAAAAATTAAATATTGGGGGAAGGAATAAGGATTAACATTTTGACTTAAATTTTGTTAAGAAACAAAAAAAACTTTTTGCCCATATTTAATTATTATACAAAAACAAAATATTCTCTCTAAAGTAATTTGAAACAAATATTTTTATTTTATAAAAATTAAAGACTAGTTCATTTTGAGATGAAAAGTTGATTTTTATTTTAGAGAATATATTTATATATTAAAATTGCTTTTATGTGAAATTTAAAAACCTGTGTTTATATTAAAAGTTACATACTCTTTTTGTTTTCAGGTTTAAAAAATTCAAAAATAATTCTATATTTTTTTCTGGAATTAGAAAACTGAAAAATTGGGGATGTTTAAACCTTGAAAATAAACTTAAAGAAATTATTTTTTAATTCCCTCAATACCAAAATTGATTTAGAATACATTTAAGATCAGAAACTGAGTGAACAGGTTTAAAGTTTGCTTTGAGTAACCTGGGAAATTTATCCAAAAATAAAAATAACAAGAGGGACCCTACTGCTAGTTGTGTAAAAACAAATTAAAAATTCCAAAGACCCCAACAAATCCAAAAGATTTAATATTTAATTTTAAAAATTTCAAACTGTAAAAATATTAAAATAAAAATATAACCATAAAATTTAAAATAATGGCACAAAAATAATTTTAGTGTGTCTTTTCCCTCCTTGATGAGAGAAAAAATTCAATTTAGAAATTTCCTAAAGTAATTCCTCTATTTTTGTATTGAAGTAAATTTTGAGTTAATCTTTGCATTTGTCTAACCAACATTTCTGCATATACTTGTTCATACCAATGTGAAGAACGTCCTCTGTAAAAAAGAAAATTTTTTAAAAAGAATTTAAATTAATTTTGAATTTCGTTTCCCTTTTTATTTTCTTAAAAAGACTTTAGCTCTTTTGGCACACAGGGCAAATAGTGGAAGGAGAGGAAGAAGAAAATCTGACATTTATGTACAATCTTAAGGAAGGAAAAAAGGGGGAACGAAGCTCAGAATAACCCTTTTTGGTTGGAAAGGAAAACCTTGAGGAAAAAAGAAAAGAAGAATTTGAATTTAAGAAATTAAGTGTCTGAATTGTGGAAAACGAAAATTCAATAATTTCCAAAACACTCACTTAAAGTCAATTCTCGAAATATAAATAATTTGTGAAAACCCAGCACATCTTGGGACAATTAAGAATTTTGATTCGTGGACATAAACCCTTTCAAAATCCCCTCCATCTAAATTGTTGTCATCCTCTTGTGAAGTAACAGAACATTCGATAAGTGAACATGTTGGGGACTCGTTCCCTATTTCGTTGTAAGTCCAACGCCTGAAAATATGAAAATAAAATGAAGAAATTTTTAGTTTTCCATAAAAAATAAATTAAAATTCGTTAGATATCGAGGCATTTGTAAAACTTGAGGTGTTCCAGGAATACAGCCGAAAAGGTACAAATTTAGCTTCGGTCAGGCATCACCCCTGGCCATTATTGCTATGCTCTTGCAGCGGATTTTTTTGTTTTACTCATTTGTTGGATGTTCTTTAATGTTGGACAAGTTCTCATGCAAACTTTACAAATGCCTCCTCTTCCATCAATTATTCCCCCCCCCCCTCTAATCTATAAAAATTACCTAGCCAAAAAAGAGCATTTCCCTAAAGTAATTAAAGTTGGCTTATATTGAAAGCGAACAATATCAAAATTCTGTCCGGAAGGTCCAACACGTTTAATTCCAATTACATTAGGATCCCATAATGTTCTAAAAAAAGATTTTTTTAATTTAAAAATCTTCCCATTCCAAACCTTCCATTAATTAAAACAGATAATATTAAATTAGGGGAAGCTGGCACACTTGTTTGAACCAAAAAAGATTTTAAATTGGGGGCCATATCGTTTATTGAACGTGTATAAATATGCGCCCCATCAGAAAATACTCGTTGTAATTTCCAGCATTTGTTTGTGTTATTGGTAAGCCAACCATTTGAATAATCCTATAAAAATATTAAATTGTAATTCTGGAAGGTTATAAATTGTAATTCTGATAAATATTAATTTTAAGATTACAATTCTGATATTTACAAATAATAATTCTGATTTTACAAATTGTAATTCTGATAAATATTAATTTTAAAATTACAATTCTGATTTTACAAATTGTAATTAATTCTGATATTTACAACTCCAATAAATCTCCCACCTCTTTAAGCCTGTGCAGCATTCTCCTCAATTTTTGATGTAATTCATCATTAAATTCAAATTGCCCATTTTTCTTTATTTTTAAACAAATAGCCCCATTATTAAATGTTCGGCATGTTTCAATTAACCGATTTAAATATTTATTATTTTCAATTAAACATGTTGGCAATAAAATTAATTTTTCCCATCCATCAATCATTGCACTTAATAATTGTTTTATAGACTCATAATTGTTTGTTGTAGAGGAATTGTTGTTTTTATTTGGTAATGTTGGACTTGTATTTTCCGTTGTTGTTGTTAAGTTTGTAATTCCTCCAGCATTCACTAAACTTATTTCTATTGTTTTTCGTCGCCTTAAAAGTAAATTGTAATTTTATTTGTATTTATAATTGTAAAATTCAAGTTGGAATATAAAATTATTGGTATTATTTACAATTCAGAATTATAAATTCTGGTTTTTAAACGTTTAAAATTGTTTTTTTACAATTTCAGTTAATATCTACAAATTCTGATTTCTACAAGTTTTAATTAATAGATAAAATTCCAATTGTAATATTTAAGGTCTCGGATCGAAAAATGTTAAGTGTGAAAATAAAAAGTATCAAATTTGGAAGTACATAGAGGGAAAAATTTTTCCAAATATAATATGCAACAAATGTACAATTTAAAAAATTTATTCTAGCTTAAGTCTCTTATGTATATCCCTCCTCAAATAAATCCTTTTAGCGCCGAAGGTGAGAATTTTGGAAGGCAAAAAGTCCAATTGTAAGTACATACTATAAACTATTTAGGGTCGATTTGTATTTACTTCCAGATAAGTGAGAATCCGAGTCCTATTTAATAATAATTCAAGGTTTAATTAAAAATACAAAGGTTTATTGTCAAATGTAAAATTCAAGACTTACATTAATCTCCTTCTAATTCCATTTCCACCATTCTCCAAGGATAAAAGAGGAATTGTACTATTTTGTCTTTGTTGTTTTTGTTGTAAAGGTTGTGAATTAAAAAATAGAAAAATTGAAGGCATCCAACAAGTAGCGAGATTTAAAGAATTCATTTTATTTATATTTGAATGTCTGGCAATTCCACATAAAAAACGTAAAAGAATTAGAAGGGCCTCTCGATTTTCTGCAGGCAAAATAAGTATTGAATATTGTGCAATTTGGAAATGTTTTGGAGAATAAGTTGGGGGTAATTCTCTGAAAATACAAATTCTGATATTTTTATTTACAATTTCAATTAATAATTACAAATTCTGATTTTTGTTTTTACAAATTCTGATTTTAATTTTTACAAATTCTGGTTTTTATTTTTACAAATTCTGATTTTTATTTTTACAAATTCTGGTTTTTATTTTTACAAATTCTGATTTTTTGTTTTTACAAATTCTGGTTTACAAATTCTGATTTTTAATTTTTACAAATTCTGATTTTTATTTTTACAAATTCTGGTTTTTATTTTTACAAATTCTGATTTTTTGTTTTACAAATTCTGATTTTTTGTTTTTACAAATTCTGGTTTTTATTTTTACAAATTCTGATTTTTAATTTTTACAAATTCTGATTTTTAATTTTTACAAATTCTGATTTTTATTTTTACAAATTCTGATTTTTATTTTTACAAATTCTGATTTTTATTTTTACAAATTCTGATTTTTAATTTTTACAAATTCTGATTTTTATTTTTACAAATTCTGATTTTATTTTTAATACCTTAGCCAATTCTGAAGCAAACTAGACACTTTATTTGTAAATAAACATTCGGGTAGTGATCTGAAGAAAAGCTTGAGAGCATCACAAAGATCAAAAATTTGGGATTCTGCAAGTAAATGAGGGGGTATTGGATTGTTTGGAGATAATTGTGAACAGCAATCCTTTTTAAAAAATTAAAAAAATATTTAAAATTAAATTTAAAATTACTTTTATTTCTTCAATTCTTCCTTTTACACCTAAAATTTATCAAATTTGACATTATAAATTGGGCTATTGGGAATTGGAAACTTTACTAGGCTTTATCAGAATTATATTTATTTACCCACCATTTTTCCTAAAAAGCCATTCTGTCAAATGTGCATACCCCTCAATATATTCCATTATATCATGTACAAAACGAGGTAGAGGACTTCCATCTTCCGTTTTTGATTGAATAATGTTCAAAGGCATTCCACCAAAAAGGGCTTCGGTAATTTTGTTGTTGTTGGGTATTTTGTTTGGATTTAATTGTTGTTCATTTCCTTTTTTAGACAAGATTAAGTATATAATTTCTGATATGATTACGGTAAGACCTAATTATAAAAAACTATCTCAAATTGAAATTATCGTATAGACAGTCCCCCTCCCAACCAGAGGTGGGTCGGAATTCCGATTTCCAACTTTTGAGCCAGTTCCAATTTCCGGCTCTTCCGATTTCCGACACCTCTGACTGTTCCGACCCACCTCTGCTCCCATCCAGTAGCCAAACAAATTTTAGGATACCTATCTTGAATTTAGATATATCTAATATTGTGGGTATCTAGTTCAAATGACGCTTAAATTAAAAGTATTTCATAGAGAGATCTGACCGTATCCCCAAACAAATATGTATTCACCTTTTGTTGTGTGTAATTTTCGAAATCTACTCAAATATTCAAGTATCAATCTTTTAGGAGCACCAGAACGTGAATTATTATAAGAGGGGAAAGATTGTTCATCACAGATAAAAGAAGAGGAGGACGATAGAGAAGAGGAAGAACAACAAGGTTGTTTAATTAATTTAGAAATTTGTTGGTGAATTAATTTCTCGTCGAGGTAATCCTTTAAAAGTTTGAGGTAAAAAGAAAGGAAAAAATATTAAAAAACCATAACGGGAGCACTTAAACTGTCAATACTGACAGAAAAAGTAGGAAAAGAGGAGTTTTGTTGAGAAAATAAAGAAGTGTCAGTATTGTCATAATTATTAATTGAAGAATCTGGAGAATTTGAAGAAGATTGTAAACAACTAAAAGAAGAAAAATTAAAAATAAAGTAGAAGGTTAAATACTTGACAAGACTATCAGTTTCCTTTAATGGAAATCTTCTAGTTATTTGTACTGAAGCTGCTCTCCGGACATTATTTAGGGTTGTTGTTGTTGTTGGAGAGTCTCCAAAAGTATCAAACTTAAAAATAAGTTTATTTGAAGTTTGTAAACTTAAAGTTTTAAGTTTTTAAGTTTAAACTTGAAAAACTTTTCTCTTTTATTTATTTTTAAGTTTAAACTTGAAAACTTTCTTTTATTTTTTTCAAGTTTACAACTTGTTTCAAACAAATAAAGTTTGTTTGTATGTTTGTAAACTTGTTAGTGTTTCTAAATTCTAAATAAGCTGTATATTCAAGTTTAATCTTAAATCCTTTCTTTTTAAGTTTACAATTTGTTTCCCACAATAAAATTTAAAAACTTAAATTCAATTTAACTCTCACAACCATTTTTAATTCAAGTCTCAAAAATATTTTATTAAAGTTCTAGTTCTTTAAACTTTTCTTAATTTTCTCTTTAAACACTTAAGATTATAAAATAAATTAATTTTAATTTCTCTACCTTTAATTGCCTTTCCTGACGTGAAAACAAAGGAGATTGATAACAAGGATTTACAATATTTAAAGGCAAAGTAGCCCCAACATCGCTAGTAGACGCTAATCGAGAACTAAACAAATCGTCGTCGTCATCGTAAACTGTACTAGACAAATCGTTTGGACGTCTATCCCCGCTAAAAGACAGAGGGGACATTAAACCAGATGTTGTGCAGTCGGAAGTGGCCGGAAAGGAAAGGGTGATTGTTGAGGAAGATTTTCCAATGGAACTTGAAGATGAGCTTAAAAAGGATTTGAAAATGTTGAAAAAGATCGAAAAATTGTGTAAAATTTAGTTGGCGGTTACCCGAAAGAACCGACTTTTTTCCAAACTTGTCCCTAATCCTTTTGGTAAGTGAGTGGGGAAGTTAAGTGATAACTTTATCTATAAAGACGTTTTGTTTAAATGATACATACAAATTTAAGGTACTCATTAGAAGGTAACAATTTTTAAACTCCAAGGGGGTATCTAAAAATCATTTTCGACTGTATTCTTTTATTTGACTTTAGTTTTTACTACCTGAGCATTTTTTCAATTTGCGAAGTGCCAAGGAAACAAAAAAGGGAATAGTTAACAACACTCGTTCAGAAACAAAATTTAGAGATCACTAGTTTGTAAAATAAATTCTGAAAAAAAAATAAAATAGAAATGTGCCCAAAAGTTCATCAAAAAAGAGAAAGTAAAGAAGAGAAGGGGAGGAGGGGGTTAATTTAAATAAAAAAGGGAAGGAATTCGAGAAAAGATGAACAAACAAAATGTTTTCAATTTTTTTCAGTGATTCAGAATTTTGCAATAAAAGAAGAAAAAGAAAAATTACAAAAAGGGAAAATATGTAAAAAATAAAAGGATTAAAGAAAAATTTAAGAAAAAATATTTTTTTTTGGAAAAAGTCACCAAAAGTTAAAATCGACCACACACAATGGAGGAAATAAATATGCACACAATCATGAATATGTATTATTGAATTGTGTTTTTTCTTATCGGCCAAAAAAAGTAAACATCTGGGACAAAAAAACTTTTATTTTAGAAAAGATAAAATATGTATGTACATTGTACAAATGGTGGTGGGGGACTAATTGAAAATAATTAAATAGATTTTATAACTACTAATACAATTAGGGTTGTCGGTTCTTGGAGAATCTTTGATATCCGGAACCGAAAAATCATCGGGTTAAGTTTGGTTCCGAACCGTAATAATAAAATTCTGAAATTAACATAAATCCTTTATGCTACGCTTACATAAAAAACGCGCGCGTCTTGCGGCAGAAAAGATAATGGGAAATGAGGAGAGTAAAAGACGCCGGCGTCTTGCCGCTTTTTTTGAGTGCTTACATAAACTGCGTCTTCCGCCGGCGTCAAGACGCCGGCGTCTTGACGCTTTTTTTGCGTGCTTACATAACTCGCGTCTTCCGCCGGCGTCTTGACGCCGGCGTCTTGCCGCTTTTTTTGAGTGCTTACATAAACTGCGTCTTCCGCCGGCGTCTTGACGCCGGCGTCTCTTTTTTTAATTCAAACATGTTTGAATTTTTTGCGGCAACTTTTAGCGTCTTGATCATTTCTCGGCCAATTCTAATCCGATTTTCAAAATTTAAAAAGATTTTGAAAATTCAATTCATTCTCTATCGATCAATATAAATTTTATATTTTTAAAGTTAAATCTTATGGGTTAAAATTGATTTTGAAAAAGGTATACTTTTTGCAAAAAATATTCTTTTTTTTCGATATTTTTGAGATTTTCGAGATAAAAAAGTATTTATATCATAACTTTTTTATCAATCGGTCAAAAATTCTGATTTTTTGTTATGTTGTAGAGCTTTTGATTCTCTATCAAATAATACCAAAAACATGAAAAATTGACCATTTCTTAATGACTAGGGCTCGTACCATATAGTTAAAGACAAAAAGTTTTGGGGAAAATCGAGGCTGATGGGAAAGTTCCAAAATATCTCTGGAACTAGTTCCAGTTCCTAGGATATACTCTGGAACTAGTTCCAGTTCCTAGGATATAATAAATTATATGTCAAGCAAAAAAGCTCAAAATGGTCAGGGAAACATAAAAAGGGGGGGGCGACAACCGAAGAATTACCTCCCGAATGATCCCGATAATAACAAAAATCCGGGATCCCGGAAAATCCCGTCGGGATCCCGTCCCGCGCCGACCTCTAAGTAGAATATTTTACCATTGAAGTTGGATCGGTATCATGGCAGGATAAAATGATTTAATATTATTTGTTCAATTTAATTTCAATAAAATATTTGTTATAAATTTAGTCCGCAATTAGTGCTTACATAAAAAACGCAGCTTTTTGCGGAAGACGCTCGGCGTCAAGACGCCGGCGGAAGACGCTGTTTTGTGCTTACATAAAACTAGCGTTTTGACGCTTTGCGTCTTCCCGCTTAGCGGAAGACGCCGATTTTATGTAAGCACGAAACTGCGTCTTCCGCCGGCGTCTTGTCGCCGAGCGTCTTCCGCCGGCGTCTTGCGTTTTTTATGTAAGCGTAGCATTACGGAGAATTTCTATGATAAAAAAAATGAGAAAATCTCCGGCAAAGTATAGTAAGCTTTCCGGAATAAATAAACGAAACCAAAAAAATAGAAAAATAAATTTCAGAGAGCACTACCGCCGTAGTGTAGTGGTTAACACACTCGTCTTTTTTTAAAAGTGCGCAGGTTCGATGCCTGGAGGTTATTGGTGATTTAATTATAATTGTTACAGCACTTATTATGCCAAAAAATAAATTCTAAAATTTTTAAAAACAAAATTTTTATTTAAAAATACAAAATATATGTAAACAATTTACGTTAAATAAACCCAAGAAAATCAATGTATTCAACAAATGAAGAAAAAAATTTTTTTAACGTCACAACTTGAGGGAAAACAAACTAGAAACACAATTAACTATAGAAGAAAACAATTTTCGCGCGTTTATTTGTTTAAAGTAAATAAATAAATTATTTAGTATAGTCTTTTTAGTTGATCTCGTTCACTCTAATAATTAATGATTTTGACTAAATAAGATTAAATTAAAAGAGAAAATGAAAAGAAAAAATTAAAAAAAATCTTTTAGAGTCAATTTCTTTTTTATTTTTTCCTTTAAAAGAGCACAGATTTTCTTCTTTTAATTCTACCGATTAGGAATAAAATAAAAAGGTCCTTTCCCCTTCCCCCTTCCATATTTTTTCCCTTCTTCCTACACATAACAACAATCCCTTTTGCGCTACTTCCACTCTACTTAAAAACACATTTCCGCTAAAATAAATTAAAAAAGTCTTTAAACTAGTAAATAGTATTTATATGTATTGATTTGAGTTGCTTTAAAGGAAAAAAATTGAAAGAAAATTTAAACAAATTTTTTATGGTTTTGTTGTTTAAGAGAATGTGTAAATATTTATTTATTTAGATCACTCTCTCTCTCTCTGACTAGCCAAAAATTTGTTATTTAATAAGGAGAAATGTGTTTGTAATTTAAATATCAACCAGCCAACTACTTACATATTTCTTTTATTTTCTTTTAAACATTTAAAAAAGACCCAATAAATTCAATTATTCTAAAAAGGGAATTTGTATTTGCTCTTTCCAAAATTCTGGTAATCATATTTTGTAATTGTAAATTATTTGACATTGCTAAACCGAAGGAAGGCGTTTGACTGAGTAAAGTTAATATTGGGGAAAGTTGACTGTCTAAAACTGAAAATTGTTTTTTGTAAAAAATCAGAATTTACAAAAATTACAAATCAGAATTTGAGTAATGGAGCAGAATTGGGGAGATACCTTAAAAATTATTTTTTTCTAAAAAATAATTTTATATGTATAGGTAATCGACCATGCTGATCACGATCACTGAAAAAAATAATTTTTAAAGTGTTTTTAAGGTGTTTCCCCAATTCCGCACCATTACCAGAATTTGTCTTTACAAATTCTGATTTTTTTTTAATTTTTTCACAAATTCTGACATCAGAAATTACAAAATTACAAATCAGAATCTCAAATTGTAATTTGTAAAATTGAGGGAATTTGTAAAAATCAGACACATTAAAAATCAGAATTTGTAAAACCCCCAACCTACCTATCTGCACAATCTCATCAGCATAAGGTATAATAATTTCTGGAGAGACTAACGCCAATTTTACAAGAAAAACAAATTCGTGCAGATTTTCACTTGTTAATAAAAATTCCTAAAAATTTAAAAATTAATTTCTTTTTTCTTCTCTCCTCACATTTAAAACATCCAAAACAAAACGTCGAAATTCAACTTTTTTATTTCTCTCTAAACATTTAAAAATGTCTGAATAAATTCGAAGTCTTCCAGAATATTCTTCATGAACTTGTGCTGCAAGTTGAACGTTGGATCTGCTCTAAAAATTGAAAAAATTATTTTTTTTCAAAAAAAATCCTTCCCAACCAATTCCCCACAAAATGAATGAAATTCCTCTGCTCCATTTTTCAATAAATTTTTTGCAAAGTTTGGAGGAAAAGACTCACTAAAATTTAAAAAAAAAAAGAAAAAAATTGAATTTTAATAAATATATTTACGCAATAAATAAAGTTATCCAATCAAAGTTGTTTATAAAAGCTTTTTGTGCAGAAATAAATGTTTGAATTGTTTTTTCTGGGGTAGAATTAAGCCTGAAAATAAATATAAAGGTTTTAATTTAGGGTTAGACAAAGTCAGTTTTAAAACCTAAATTTTATTGGGAAATATAAATAATTAAAAAAAAATTCTCCCCAACCTCAACCACAACCCCAACCATAACTAAAACACGAACAAGAAAACCGGCTTTTAAAGTCTGGATTAACAGAAAACCGAGGACTGCCGGTTAATAACCGGTTTAATTTTAGCGTGTAAAAGACGGAATTTGTAAAATTATCTTAGAGAAACTTCGTTTATACCGGGGATGTCAAGGGTTGAGAAAAAATCGCTCAAAATTTTCTCTGTCTTGGGTAGCAAAAGAATTCGGGTTAGTATAAAAGCGCCTTAATAGTTTATGCATTAACCAACACTACGACTCACTGCACTTCGTGACGACAACGCTGTGCTCAATTCAACTAAAGGCCGCTTTTGGTTCGTCGCTGTGCTGCTCACTCTTGCTTTGGCGTCTCAGTACAATGGCCGAGAAACGAGGATGTATCATACAAGGGTTGTTTTCTAAACTAACTTTTTTTCTTTTTCAGCTAAGAAGTACATTCATGAGCATGAGGATACCATCGAGATCCAAGACTCGGACATGGGACTGACGTTCTTCAGTGGGAGCTCGCCGCCGCGGATACAGAAGATCGACATCTTCTCCTACTTCTTTGGATGGTTGTTCCCTGGAGACTGGATCTTGCAGATTGACAAACGGGTAAGCTTCTGCGATTATTAGGGTAATACTCGGTTTAAACGTCCATTTTTCAGGCCATAAACTCGGCAGAAGACTTCACGGCAGCAACCCAGTATTCTGGCGCTGAACCCAAACCTTTGTTCATCCGTTTCCGCAGGGACGACTACTTCAGAATGATCAACCTCAAGGTCACACAAATCAGGCGAAACCCGAGCCACAATTTCATCCAGCTGCAGATCAGATGGCGAGAAGATCTTCCAATTGGGATAACTGTGGAGAAGAAGGTAATTGATTGAGTAATGAGGGCTTGTCATTAATAATAGCTTTCAATTCCAGGGATCTAATATCATCGTCACGCACATTGAGCCAAGCAGTGTAGCTGCGCAGTACATCCTTCCAGGCGACATATTGCGGGACGTTAACGGCAAGGAAGTGAAAGACGACGTCTCTGGAGCTAAAAAGGTGTTATTTTTACAAGTAATTTTGTAAACAATTTTCAATCCTTTAATTTACAGGCTATCCGACAGAGTATCACTGAAAAGAAAAATGTGGTACTCAAGCTCGAACGGGATGCCCCTCCACTGAAGCTGATCTCGACCGCAGCCGAGGACGTGTGTGAAATACTTACGCGCGCTAAAGGCTTCTGGAATAAGCGGTGTAAGCTCATTCCAATTGAGGAGGAAGAACCACGGAAGCCGAAGAGAGGTACTCGAATAAGTGAAAAGGAGTCTTTGGGTAATTCTTTAATTTTCAGTATATCACGTGCCTGACGTTGAGTCCGAGCCATTTCCGGTTGATGATACGGGAAAGAAACTGGTTGCAACACCGAGTCGGGATGGTGGGACGCGCACTGAAGAACCGGTGGAGACGGCCGAGGAGGAACCTGCCACAGAGGGGGAAGAATTCTAAAGAGATAAAAATGAACTGAATATATTATCTAAACTCATATTTTCCTTTGTTGTTATCTTGCATTCATTTATATGTTGTATATTTCCTAAATTTCCTTGTGTGTAATATGTACATATGTCTCATAATATATTCTATTAGATTTGTTGTAAATTTGTTTTGTATGTAAATGTGTTTTTGGAATAAATTTTTTGTAAAATATTTGGCAATCTTCAATATTTTCCTAATGATCAGTTAAAATGGAGAGTTTGAGGTGAATGAAAATGTCAAAAATTGAGTTTGGGGCAAAGCCCAATATTTGACTAGAATTCAAAACCGAAAACCGGTTTTAAAATTGGATTAAAATAAAACGGAGAGTGCCGATTGGCAACCGGTCACCAACTGCCTATCTTGAATTTGTAAAATGTTATTTGAAGAACTCCGTTTTTATTACCCTCTTTCAATTATTACCCCTAACAGCGAAAGATTGAAATTAAGAAATAACAAACATTTCTGTAAAAGTATTCTCCATCAGCGAAAGTAAATCAACAATACAAGGCATTTGTTGAAATGCTTTAAGCAAAACACTAGGCAAAGGCCTTTGGAGATTAAAATACGGTCTGTTGTGGTTTTGATGACTTAAATCGGCGCATAATTCAAAAAGCCATTGAAGCAATAAAAGAGGGAAAGAAGAGGTTGTTTTTGTTTTGATTTCCCCTTTAAATGAATTTAAAGTTGAAATTAATAGTTTAACTGAAGTTTCCAAATTGGTGTAATCAACGCCTGAAATTTTAAAAATAATGAATGCCTTCTTTAATGAGGGCGGATTTATATTGAAATAAGACAAAGAAACGCTCCTGTCCATGAAAGTTAAACAGAAAGGGGAAATATACTTTATAAAATAAGTGTATTTTTTAAAAAAAAATAACAAAAATGGGGAGAGGTTCGGGAAGTTTTCCCATTTCACAAGAACCCTTCCAATTCTCGGGCAGTTTCGTGTCAGTATTTAAATATAAATCCAGGCTCTATTTACCACCTACCTTTCCCCGTTCCTTCTTTCCTTTCCTTTTCAGAAAAATATAAATGGACAGTTTCATGAACCAATTTAGCTATATAATGAAGAACAGCTCCCCTAAATGTAAAAAGTTTTTTAGGAAAAAAATTTTTTTAATTAAAAAACCTAGCCGAAGGGACATTATTAAAAAGAATCTCCGCTGGAAGTACAAGTTTATCTGGATGATAATTTGCCCAAATAGGCCTCCCTCTGTAAATAGAAATTATATCGCCACAAGTAGCAACTTCAAAAAAACATTCAAAATTTTCTTGAAAATCTTTCATCATCTAAATAATTTATAAAAAATTTTTAGAGTACAAATCTAGGCTATAAGCTACTCAATACGCTCAATTTAAAATAAGTTTTCTAAATTGTTGTTAGTTACTTAAATGAGGAAGGGATATCTGAACAATACCTTCTATTTAAGAAAGAGAGGTTTCTTATCACAAGAGGTCCGACATTAAAAATATGATAATCAAGAATTTGACTTTTAAACTTTAAAAAGTTGCCCCAAGTTTCCAAAAAAAGATTAAACTTAAACTTTTCTTAGAAACAAATTTTGCAAACTTGAAAACTTAAGAAAATAAGCTTGAACTTGATGTTGTAAAAACAAGAAGTATTCAAGTATAAAAACTTGTAATTAAATTAAAAATTAATTTAATTTCTAATAATAGAAAAATATTTATCAAAAAATATTTGTTTCTCTCAAAATAATAATTTTTTCTTTTCAAAATCCAAAACTTCTTTTAAAAGATCTAACAGATCTCCCAGCTTCAGCAATTTGTTTTTCTCCACTTTTTGAAGAATTTCTTTCACTTTGAATCATTTTTCTTTCAGAAATTAACCGTTGTGCTTCTTCCATTTCAATTTCCATTGCTGCTGTTGTTCGTTGAGTATCCTTTAAAGAAAAAAAATTTTTTTTAAATCTTTTTTAAAAAAATTTACTCGAATTTTTTCTGATCTAGTTTTCGAAGTTTCTTTAACAGAATAAAACATTGGGCCAAGTTCTGCTAACCATTGAGCTTCTACAGCAGTAACACATTGCATATATTCTTTTGCCGTCATTATAAGCTCGTGATAGACAACATACTTTAAAAAAAAATAAAAAAATTAAAAAGAAAATCTAAAAAAATACATCAGGTGTATATCCCATTCCAAAAAGTGAGGATGTTGGGTGAAGAAAACAAGGCATTCCAGTTCTAACATTTGCATATTCACCAATACCTTTTAATCTATAAAAATAGGAAATAATTAATCTGTTATTTACACATCATTTTTTTCTTTTTCAATTTTTTTCCTTCCCCTAAAAATTATAATGGTCAAGGGTACTTAATGGTTAACAAACTAGTAGAATAAAAAATATTTAAATAATTTATAAAAATAAATATCCAAAAGCAAATTTAATTTAGGTTCGTAACTGAACAGAAGAACCGAGGATTTTTCAGTTCGGTTCCAGATATCCGAAGATTTCCCACCAAAAATTGACAATCCTATTAATAAGCTTTTTCAACCGCGTCCATTTGAAATTTCCAAAAGGAGAAAAGAAAAAAAGAATAGTGGGGAAAATCAATCACAAACCTCGCAGCGTTATAAAAATAAGCAGAACAAATACATTTTCTAACAACATCCCAATCAGTTCCAGACGAATTTGTTTCAATTTTTAAACTTTCCATAATTTCAAGTAATTGTTCTCTAACTTCTCGAACTTTTCTCATTGCTTTTGCGTGAATAAAATTGTCTGTACACCATTTAGAACTGTATTTATGTTTTTGCCATTGAATATAAGTATTTAAAAATGTTAGATGGTCACTTTCTGGAACCTAAGAAAAGGAATTTCTTTAGTTAAAAAATTGTAAAAATAAAATTAATTATCCACTCCCGAAGCCCTTCGATTAAACCAGATGTTTAAAATCAGTATTCGAGTATCAAAAGAATATAGCTAATAAACGATAAAAGGACATGAATTTGTTAATCTTTAACCACTTTTCATACCTTTACATTTCCACATTTACAAGGGCGTAGGCGGAAGTTGAAGCCCACCCCCTCGAAATGGCGGAAAAGGAAAAATTAGGAGAAGGAAATGACCGAAAAAGCAAAATTTTTTCGCCTATGGCCGTCCAAATTCTAAAAAATTTTTGAAAAGGAAGACTTTTCATAAATATTTAATAATTTTTAATCATAAACTAACAAGGATTTACGCCCGGTCGGAAATTATTTCCAAAAATTCTTTTTAAAAAAAACCTGAAACTTTTCTCTTCTAGCATCAGCTTCATCTTCTCTCATTTTAGGACGAAAAAATATTGAAGGAACAGAAAGCATTGAAACTATTGTTAAAATTTCACTACTACAAGCCATAACAACAGATTGAATTAACATTTTAGACAAAGTTGGATCCAATGGAAATTCAACCATTTTACGTCCCATATTTGTTAATTGTCCAGTATTGTCAAGTGCTCCTAAAATCCAAAGTTGATACATTGAATTTAACATATTTTCCATAGGTGGGGAATCCATGAAATGAAAATGTAGTAGATCTTCGACGTTTAATGATTTTCTGAAAAATTTAAAAAAATAATATTTTTTAAATAAAAATACAGTCAAAACACGTTTTTAAATACTCCTCAAAATTTTAGGTATTAATAAACGGTTATTAAAAAATTGGGTGGTTATCAGGGATGTCACTGGTTACCCCAAACCCTACCCGAGGAAAATTTTGAAAACCCGTCAATTACCAAAGTTGGTAGTTGATTGTTGAGAGCGCCTAAGAGTTACTCTTCAAGTTATCCCCTCAATATACAATTTTTTAACCCCAAGGTGTAAAAAAAGTTTGACTATACTAACACAAAAATATTTTAAAAACAAATCCACATACAATAAAAGAACAACATTTGATAAATTTGTTCTTTGTATTTCCGGCACAGTAGTAGCCAACATTTCATCTTTAAATTGTCTTTGAGTATATAGTCGATAACATTGTCCAGGGCCTGTTCTTCCTGCTCTACCAGAACGTTGATTAGCAGATGCTTGGGAAATTGGGAAAACCTTGAAAGATACAAAGAATCGAAAGAAATTTTAAAAAAACCTGTAAAGTATCCATTCCCATTTTTGGATTGTAAACCTTCAATTTACAATAACCAGGATCAACAACAAAGAAAATTCCATCAACAGTTAAGGAAGTTTCAGCAATATTTGTAGCAACAATACATTTACGCATTCCACCCGGGGCACGTTGAAATATTTTTGCTTGAAGGTCAGAAGGAAGTTGTGAATATATTGGTAATACAGCTAGAGGGGGTGCTTCATCTAATTGGCCAAGTTTTTCTTTTATAAGTGAGCAGGTTACCTTAAAAATATTTTTTTAAGAAAAAATAGTGTTTTTCGGTTATCCATTTTTCTCCCGTCAAAATATTAAAAATGGCTAAAGATGCAGGGATAAATAAACTGGTTGGAACGGCAGATGTTTGGATTTTTTGCGTGGACTAATGTCCATTATTCGATTTTCATGGCCATTATTATTATCGAGGGGTCAATTTCAGTAGGCTAAAAATGGGTGCCTCACCCTTGACAATTGTAATATTTGTAGAAAAGAAAGGAAATACAAAAAATGGAAGCAAATAACCAAACTATAATAAAAAAAATCCAAAAAATAACCTCAATATCTTCCTGCCCAGGCATAAAAATTAAAATATCCCCTTCCTGTCCACCCAAATGAATTTGTATTGTTTGTTTAACTGCCGCATCAACATGATCTTCAGCTGGTACTCTTGCATGATATATTTCTACAGGAAATGTTCTTCCAGGAATTTGAAAAATTGGTGTATGGCCACCGAAGAAATTTGAAAATTTTTCGGCATCCATAGTTGCCGAAGTTACAATTAATTTTATATCGGATCTAATTAAAATAGTGTAATGAATAGAAAAATAAATTTAAAAAATTAATACCTTCTAGCAACAACATCCCTGAGTAGTCCAAAAAGAACATCTAAAAATAACTAGGTAATTATAATCGAACTCGATTTTACAACACCCTGGAACTGAAGAACTGAGATGAATTTAAAATTGGAGGTACCGCTTAAGCATATCCCCTTCACCTAGTGGAAAGTTTTAACTAAAAAACCTCACATAAATTAAGCGCACTCAATACTGGGTATATGAAATACCAAGGTCAACTTGTATAAAACAACAATCCTCTTCCCCACCTGTATTTAATGAACGTTCGTGTGCCTCATCCATAATTATAGCAGAATATGAGTCCAAATCGGGATCTCCAAGACATTCTCTTAACAAAATACCGTCTGTCATGTACTTAAAAATTTTTTAAATTTACATTAATTTAAATAAAAAAACCTTTATAATAGTTTTATCAGAAGTACAGTCTTCAAATCGAATTGCATAACCACATTCCTTAAAAATTAGAAAAGATAGAATGGGATACTTTTAAAAATTGTTTAAATTAAAAAAAGCGAATTTCTAATTAATAAATTATGTAGTGATCCCAAAGAAGAGAAAGGAATTTTATTTTCTTCCATTCTCTCCTATCAAAATTTCTCAAAGGAAAAATAAATAGTCCTACATAAATAAGTCAAGAAAAAGAATTTAATATAGCATCCCCATTCTTACTTACAATTATATGGCTCTTTGAGGCTCGAAAATTCACGCCTAATCTAATAATAAGCTCGCTCGACCCGAAACCCGAAAGATTGAGCGAGCCAAGGCTTTTCAGCTCGAAAACGACCGAATCGAAAAAAATCAAGCTCGAAAAAATGCAAGAAACGTCGGCTCGAACCGAAAACGGCAACCTAAATAAGAGATAAGGGATATCATATTAAAGCCCCCTTCCTCACCTATTGGTAAAGTAAATTTAAAAACCAGTCCTAAATTGAAAAGTAATATAATTTGGGAGGTGTCTAAAATTAATGTTCGACCAGCACTTTAAAGATAAATGAAAAAACCTGTCCAAGTTCAACACCCATTTCTTCAGCAACTCTTTTAGCAACAGACATTGCAGCAACTCTTCTAGGTTGAGTACATCCAATAATTCCTCCTCCAAATTTTCCATAACCATCTTCTACTAAATATTGTGTTAATTGTGTTGTTTTTCCACTTCCAGTTTCACCAACAACAATTACAACAGAATTTTCTCTAATTACTTGTAAAAGTTTTTGACGAACAGCAAACACTGGTAAATATTCTCTTTGCTCTTTTACGGATTTTTCCATTGCAAAAATTGATACAGCTTCAGATTCTTTCAAATGAGAAGCGAATTGTTGGGATTCTCTGAAGAAAATATACTTTAGTGATTTTTAAATTTTAGTGAAAAAAATGGCCTAGATTGCAATTATAGAGGTTACAAATACATATGTAAATACCCGGAAAATTATAAAAAATTTAGCGACAATTTTAGGAGAAATAGTGAAATCGAGGAAGGAGGTGGTGACAACAAAAAAAATTTAATAGCATCCCCACGGGGAAGTAAGGGGGAAAGGGAGGGAAAGCTCTGACTATTAATTCCATTAAAAATCAAAAAAAAAATATAATTATACTTATAATTAGTAGATTCTGTTGGTTCTTGTTCCTCTTTAGCTTTAACCCCCATAATTTCACCAATTCGAGTTCCTGCCAATTCCCAATGTTTTTCTTGAGCTTTTAATTTTTCTTGTTGTTCTCTAAAATATTTTACTTGTTTACTTCCTTTACTTGCTGTTATTGCCAAATCTGAAGTTACATCTTTTACCTTTAAAAAATTAAAAATTCTTTTTAAAAAATAAAAAAATCCATACAGGAATAACAGGCATTGTTTGACAAGTATAAGCTATTCTGCCATCCAAAAATGGAGGTATAATATTATGTACAAGAAGAGAAACACGATTTTCATCTGTTTCGTTGTCGAAAACAGTGTCGTATTCTTCAGAATTTATTACAACGCCTAAAAAAGAATATTAGATTAAATAAAAAAGTAGTTTATGTAAGGTTTATACCCCCGTCAGCTTTTTCGGTTAACAATAAGTAGTCTGCCGATTGCTCGGTGGAATTACCAGGAGGTCGATTTCAGGGGGCTAAAATGGGATGTGTGCCAAAATTTTGGAGTTTACTTTAATGTTCTGAAAACGAATTTTTTGTACAATTAATTTGGTAGGTATAGACAAAAATTTCACTTTTTCAATATTCTTCGTTCAATTTTCCCCCATTTCGGGTAAGGGGGAGCTATTTTCCCCTGGATACTCACAAATTTTTAACTAAAATTTTCAACTAACCTGAACGTGCCAATCTATTATTTTCCCACATTTCATTTTCTTTTTTTATTTGTTGCTGTTTTAGTGTCAATCTAGGTTTTTGTCTAGTTTGTTCCATTTGTTTTTCTCTTTTATCAACATATTCTTGTGAAATGTGTGCAAAAGGATTAAATTCGTCATTATAGCCTTGATCACTTTCATACCTATTTTGAAATAAAAAAAAATAAAAAAAGAAGTATAAGCAGCCTTTTTTCTAGTTTCTTTCAGTTAGTCTTTGGTATTCAATTAGTTAACAAAAATAACTTTATTTATATGTGTAGGGTTGTCGTCGGTTTCTGGAGAATCTTTAAATATTTGAAACCGAACAGAAGAATCCCAAGCTTCCGGTTAGGTTTCAAACTGGCAACCCTACATAAAGACGACTCTTTCCTATTAACTTTCATCTCTAAATAAATCCTTATGAGCCAAAAGTTGTTGAAACAGAGGCGCGCTTTCGACGCCGAAAATGATTTTTCCAACATGCTTCCACCCCCCAAAATTTTTCCTGGCTACGGGCATGGAAAAAACTAATAACTATTTTAGACTAAATATTTAATTAAAAATTTAGATAATAACCATTCTCTATCCAGCATATATTGCTCATTTTCCCATTGTTTGCGTTCACTTTCGTTTTTGAAATAAGGTAATTCGTCATATTTTGGTTTTGAATCCCCATAACGATAACGGTGATGTCTAAAAATTAATTAAAATTTAATAAAAAATTTCTAAGATTTTAAAGCCTCCAAAATTATTTAAACAATTATACAAAAAACCTCTTTTTATAATCTTCTTTCTGCCTTTCTCTTTGTGATTTTAATATACTTTCAATATTTCTTTCAGAATCTCCATATTTTCTTTCCTTCAATTCTTTAGGCGTTTCAAAATCCCAACCACTCCTTTTTGCAGATTTATTAATTGAAAGATCATCTTCTTCCCAAGTTGAACAGGAAGGGGTGTTTGGAAGCTTGAAAATTAAATAAATTAAAAAAGAAATGTTTAAATTTAAATTAATTTGAAAGTTTAGCCCCTAAAATAAAAAAAAAGAACTCGAAAAATAAACTTCGCCCAGGAAATAAATCAAAGATAAGAAAAATTTAAAAAAACGTAACAATTTAAAAATTCCATAAACACAGGAAATTTTGTTTTTTTTGCCTTTAAAGACGTGAGGAAACTTATTTATGTAACTAAAATTTAGTTAAAATTTAATTTAAAAACTTTTTGGAAATTTTAAAGCTTTTGTTAGAATATTTTTCAAATTAAAAAGAGCAAACCCAAAAAACCAAAAATATTATTTAAGACCTAAAGAAACCTTAAATTTAGGAGTTTCAACATCTCTAAAAGAATATTTTTGTTTTTCTTCTCTTCTTTCCCTTTTATAACGTTTTTCATAATAATCCTTTCCAGATCTTCTTTCCTCTTTTTTATTTTTTGTATCAGCTTCTATACCTCTATGGTCAATTCCTTTATATTTTTCTTTGACATATCTTTAAAGAAATAACGAAATTAATTTTTTAGAAAATTTTTCCCTAAAATCTGGCAATGTGGAATTTAAATAGAAGAGTGTAGACTAAAAATTAGGAGCAAAAAAGAAGGAAAAAGTCAGAAAAGTAAAGCTATCTTAAAACAAAAATTTTGAAAAGAATGGTTATTGACTATTGGAGTAAAAAAATCCCGTAAAAGACTGGTATAATAGAATTCAAACCATGTATCTGAATATAATGAGGCAGATAAAACCTACCTTAAAAAATGAAAGGAAATGGTATTCAAAAATCAGAAAAAAATCTCCAAATTAGGAAGGACAACAATAACAACCCAAAATTAAATTCAAAATAAAACCCCCAAAAAATTCCCAAACCTTTTAATTTCTTCTCGAACACTTTCCGATAAGCCAGGTGTTTCATTCCCTTTTTCTTCATCAATAACTTGTCTTTTACGCAAATTTGTTGTTAATTCTCTCTTCGATTTTGCCAATTTATCCAATCCAAGAATTGAAGGCTTTTTAAAATTCTTGTCGTCCTCCTCTTTTTTATTTTCTTTTTTTCGAATTAACAACCCTCCACGTTCATTCCCCGTTGTTCCTTCTAAAATTGATTCGACTTCCATTAAAATATTGAACTAAAAAATATTAAATTAGATAAATTAATAATAGAAAATCAAGAAAAATGCAGGAGAGAAATCACGCACACTCTGAATCGGTCAGCGCTGAAACGACCTTTTACCAGTTTTCTCTCTCTCTCTAACACACTCTTCATTTTACTTTTTCCCTCATTTTCCACAGTAAAAATGCAATTTTTCTAATTTTTAAAAATAAATTTTTAGGAGTTTTTTCTTGTTTCTAGATAATTAAAATGTTTTTTCTTCCGCCTGAAGTTCAATTGGATGTGTTCAAATACCTCAATTTCAACCAATTATTCTCTGTCAAACAAACAAATTTTTACTTTTCCAATTTAATTAATAAATATGAGGGGGAATTGGCACGGAAGGAATTTTTTGAACTCTCAATAGTAAATATATTTATTTATCAAATAATTTTATTTCCAATTTTTTTTTAGATAAGCGAAAATGAAAAGTCTCGTTCATATACTCTAATTGAAAATAAATTGGGAGATTTTGAATTTACTTTAAATAATCAACTTAGAAAGAAGGTTTAGTTAATTATGTAATTAATTTTTAATTTTAATTTAATTTTAGTGGCAGAAAGCGGTAGACAAAGCAATTCCTTTATTTTTATGTAAATCTAGCAACAGGATACTTCTTTATATAAAAACTTTAGGTTAAAGAATATTTTATTTAAAATAGACATTTTGACCTCGCTCAGTTTTAGCTACCGATCGAGTACCGAGTAGTCGAGTAATTGGGAAAAACTCAATTCGGTTTACATCGAGTATGTCTGAGTAAGTATTAGGATCCTCCCTCCAAGTATTAGGATCTCAAGTTCGAGTCCAAGTAAGGACGAAAAACCTCGGGCAGTTGTTAAAACTTGGTGAGGTCAAGACTACTCTGATTTTTAAATTTATTTTTTAATTTTTAGTGGACGGATATTCTCGTTGTTATATTTTAAAATTGCCAATAATTCCAAAAACTATCGAAGAAATGGTTATTATTCGTTGCTGTTTAGAACAATTATTTAATTGTGCTTTTAAATATGCTTATTTTTATTGTATATTTAATCCACAAATTATCAATATACAGGGTGTTTCAACAGAAAAGCCCTTTTTGAAAAATTAATATCTTTTTACTGCGTGGATAGATTTTTACGATATTTGGTATATTATACCTATAATTTATAAGGTTTTTTTTGACATAAAATTTATGTCTAAATTCGAACCCTAACCCAGTATTTCAAATCCGTACTCTACCGTTCTCTTTTTTCCCTCTTTTCATTGTGTGCTATCTTACTTCATTTATTTTCCTGCGTATGGCGAAGAGTGGATACTGTATTGAAAATCTAGTGTCTATCGCCTAGTGTTTACTCTAGTGTCTGTCTCCCCTTAAAACAAATAAAGGGAAGTAAGAAAACATGTGCGGAAAAAGGGAAAAACAGAACGGTAGAGTACGAAATTATCTCGGGTTAGGGTTCGAATTTAGACATAATTTTTATGTCAAAAAAACCTTATATATTATAGATATAAAATACAAAATAACATTAAAATATATCAATTTTGAAAAAAGTTATTGATTTTTCAAAAAGGGCTTTTCTGGTGAAACACCCTGTATTATTCGACAACAACCCAACAATTCCTTCTCTTCAATTTCACGTTCAAAAATCATATTTATTTGCTACTAGCAAAACAATTGAAAATATTTTGGAATTTTCTTCAAATCATCTATCAATTTCTGAATTCCTCAATATCGATATTACACATGTTAACATTACAATTACAAGGAAATATACAAATATTTTATTTAATATTCTAATAAACGAAGGAAATAAATTCCCAAAAATTTGTTTGACAAGTTACAAGTTAAAAAAGCTTTATGAAATGATTATGGAAGTAAGGTTAAAAACAATGCTGGGTATTGGGCATTTACCAGAGGTGTTTCGAAACAAAAAAATCTTCGAAAATCGAAATCCAAAAATATCGAAATCGAAAATATTTTTTAAAATCTTCGAAATCGAAGATCAGAAATCGAAAGAAAAATAACCTCGAAAATCGAAAAACGAAAATCGAATTTTCGAAACAGCCCTGGCATTTGTTGGCTCCGGCTCCGGGCTTTTAAAATCTTTGCCCCGCTGGAGCCCGCCTCCGGGGCTAGCTCATGGACTAGCTCACCAGCTTCGGGGCTAGCTAGCCATACCCAGCACTGGTTGAAAACACAAAATAAAAATTAATTTTAACATTTTAGTATATACAAACAACATCGACAGATTGTTCTAAAATGGTTGCTTTTATTAAATTAAATTGTGTTTCACTTCCAAATTTTAAATTAAACGAGAGAGCGGAGAATATTGAAATTGGCCAAGGAAATAATGCATGTAAATATACAAAATACCAAATTGCCAATTATTACAATCCAAAATTGAGATTTTCGATTTGCAATAATGTATGGAGTAGTAGTGAATCATTTTACATTCAAATCAAGAAAATGAAAGAATAGTTTTTAAGAAAACAAGAATAAAATTTTATTTATTGGATGACATAATAGGGTTAAAAATTGTTGTTTTTCATTAAATTTCGATTAAACTGGTTTTGTCAAAATTTATTTTCATTATTATTTAACAAGTTAAAGCTTGTAAATTTATTTCTAAATATTTTGAATACATATACATTTTTTTAAATATAAAACCTTTCTCCTTTTTTTTGCATTTATTATCGATCGATCGCAAAATCTCATGTTGTTTAAGTCAATTCAGAGTATTTCGAAAGGTCCATAACTGCGGAAACATTTTGGACTGTCATGATCTGCGTATTTTACAAAAATAAGTGAGTGACAAATGACAAAAACATAAATCTATGTATTTTCCATTTGTAACTTATTTGTGTGTGTAGTGTTAGATCAGAAAACTATGAAAAAGATGCCGCTTTCGGGATAATGATAATTTGAATCGGCTACGCTGAATTGACTTTTACCGGTTTTGTCTAATTTCCTCGAGTTTGTTTTCTCTCATTTCCACAATAAAACTGTACAATTTTTCGATTTTAGGAGAATTTTGATTTTCTCATATTTTCTTTTTAAGCAATTAAAATGTTTTCTCTTCCAAATGAAGTTCAACGTGGTATATTAAAATATCTTAATTTCAATCAATTATCTTCTGTTGGACAAACAAATTTTTATTTTCGAAATTTAATTGATAAATATGAGGGGGAATTGGCACGAATGAAATTTCATGAAATATTACTAGTAAATATTAATTTGATTATATTCCTTTGTAATTTATTTCAGGTTAATACAAATCCCAGGTTAAATTTAGACAAATTGATTGAACTTAAATCTGGAGTTTTTGAATTAACTTTAAATGATCAACTTATGAATAAAGTTAAAAAATTAATTTTTATTTAAATTATAAATTCATTTTTAAGTGGCAATCAGCAACAGACAAATCAATTCCATTGTTTTTAAATAATTTTGGATGTGGCACAAAAACCGTTCGTATTACTACAGGTCCACAAATATTTTTATGAACTTTACATTCTCCCAATTTTTTTCTTTTAAAGTGCGGGGTAGCGTATCCTCTTGGACTTGCCTTTGTTTTACTAAAATCTTTTTTAATCTTATAATCTATTAACACTGTTTTTTTATTTTCTATTTTAGTTGACAAAAAACCTTTTCTTTTAAAATTGCCAAACTTTCCTAAAAATACTCAAGAAATGATTATTATTCGGTGTTGGTTAGAAAAATTATTTAAATGTGTTTTTGAATGTGCTTGTTTTAATCAAAGCTTATTTAATCCAGAATTGATCAATATTTTATTTGATAACGACAAAATTATTCCTCCTCAATTTAACATTTTAGAAGCAAATGTGTGTTCTAACGACAAAACGTTTAAAAGTGTTTTTAAACTGACTTTAAATCATTTATCAATTTCTGAATTTCTTATCATTGATCTTACAAGATTTGAACTTACCGAGCAACACATTGATATTTTATTCAATATTCTGATAACTGAAGGCAATAAATTACCAAAAATTTGTTTTAATAGTTACAAGTTAAGAAGGCTTCATGATCTTATTTTAAAAGTAAGCTGCCTATTTAAATGTGTACTTTTCCGTTATACGACCGCAAACTGAATGTACGCTGACATTGACCGACTATACTTTTTGTTGCATGATCCATTACATATGAATTCTATAGCATTCGAAAGCCTCGATAAGCCGTATCTTTTTTCCAACTTGATGGATCAGGTCTGATTACTTCTTAAAAAGTTATAACACGATAAATTTCCAAATAACTTATCAGTTTCGGGTTATAACTTTTTAAGGAGAGGTCGGTCTGATCTATTCTTTAAAAAAAGACAGCTTGTCAGGGGCTTTAGAATGATATAAAATTCATATTTATTGGATCATGTAATAAAAAGTTATAGCCGATCAAGTTCGGATGGCACTCAATTTGCGGTCGTATAACGGAAAAGTACCTGAATAAGTTAAAAATAAATTTAAATTTTTATTGTTAGTATATAATAACATCCAGAGATTGTACAAAAATTGTCTCTGTTATTATTTTTGATTTTATTTTATACCCAAATTTTAAATTAAATGAGAGAGCAGAAGAAGTTGAGGTTCTTCAATTAAGTACAAATACAAAATCTACAAAATACCAAATTGCCAGTATTTACAATCCTAAAGTGAGATTTTTATTTTGCAATGAAGGAGGGAACAATGGATCGGTTTCTTACATTCAAATCGAAAAAATGAAAGAGAATCCTAGAGGATGAAAATGGAAATTTATTTGATTTAATAGACAACGAAACATTTAAATAATTGTTTTTCATTGACGTTCGATTAAATTATTTTTGTTTTATTTTTTTGGGTTTCGGTCTCATAAAAAATATTGGGAGCGGCAGCTTTGAAGTTCGATAATTTTTTTCCTGGTTTCCCGATACTCTAAGAATTTTTTTGATACCAATAAGATTTTAACTCTCATCGAAACAAATTTTACCCGCAGATGCGGGTTCTAGTAACTAACCATAGCTCTGGGTTATATGAATAAGGGTTCAGGGTTAACCTATTCGCAGCTGAGAGTTGGTTAATCCCTTCCACGCAAAAAATCTTGTATTAATTGTATTAAATTAATGTCTTTAAAAATTAAATAAAGGGTAATTTTTTAAAATAAAAAAATTTTATTGCTCAATTCAGGACATATTTTAAGTGTTAATGGGTATTTATTGAACAATTTCTTTTTAATTTGTTTCTTTGTTTGAAAAAAATATGTCAGCGCAAACTTTATGGCCCTTTTTTATTTTCACTCATTTCTATTAATTTATTACTTTTGTGAGGGTATTAAATAGAAAAATGACAGAGTAAATCTGCAGGAAATGGATTTGTTTTTGTTTTTGCTTAATCTAAAATATTTGAGGGTTAATTGTTGATTTAAAGGGATATTTACTGATACACTTTAAATCCACCAAATCTCCCTAAATAATATTATATCCACTATAATCATCAGATCTCCGAATCCCCCTTAATAGCTACAAATCTAACGATATACCCCTCAATCCACCTATTTACAGAGGCCTCCAAATCTATATTTATTAATTCCTTCAATTCCAATATACCACTTTATCCCTACAAATTTATATATAAAAATAATTATTTTTTTAATTGATTGATTTTTTAAATCCGGTGCGGAATACCGATAAATTTTTATCGGTATATACGATAGTACGGTACGGTACGAAATTTCAGACTCTAAATAAGTCAGCTTTATGTTATACTAAAGTTGTCTTCGATACATCTAGGCAAAGGTAATCGAAGGTGTATCCGTTTTTTGATGACGAAAAACAAAAATCACGCCAATGTTAGCGCACATTCTTTAAAGTTTTCATTTTCTTTCTAGGCCAACATAGAGAAAGGAGGAGTCAAAACAGCCAAATAGGTTTTTATTTAAAGGGCGAAAGAATAAAATGTGAATTTGATCCTTCCTCGCGGTCATTTAAACCTTTTTTTTTATTTTTTTGTTTGGTCATTCCAAGGGATTATTGAAGTAAAAAGGATTATATGACCTGAGATATGGCCTGAGAGAGAGGCTATAAACCCTTTCAAATCGCATTAAAATGGGGGAATTTCTGGGGTTTATTATATTTTTATGTCTCCTATTCAGCTGGCATTTCTCTTTTTATTTTTATTGCTCATAAATACCTAAAACCAAAAAAATTTTTATCTATGGGAAATCTTATAGGCGAAAATATACTATTTGGATATTGAAAGGTCAATCTTGAGTTATTTTTCCATATTTAAACACAATAATTTTTTCTGTTTTGCTTAATATAAAATATTTGAAATTATAAAGTTTGATTGGATATTTTGTTTATTTTGTAAAGTTTTCCGGTAGATATACACAAATTAATTGGATTCATAAACTTTTCATTGAACTTTTAATGTTCAATGGACTTGTAAACTGCAGTAGGTCCTTTTTCATCTAATTTGTTCAAAAGAATTCAATTAAAGTTCTTTATTTGAAAAAATTTACTTAATATTAAATATTTCATTAAAAATTCTTTTTAATTAAAACTTTTTTACGTTTTTACCTGTGTATTGCAGCATTTTTTATTTTATATTTTTGAAGTTAGTGTTTTACACTGACAAAAATTCGAGTTGATTGAGAGAAGGGAGATATAAAATATTCTTTCAAAACAGAGGAGAATTTTGTTGAGATAAGTTTTGAAATCAAACTTTTCCTTCTGTGCGGAAAAACAATTTTTAAAGGTTTGCGTTTTTTGCGCACATTTGGACAAAAATTAATTTCCAAACATTTTCCCCTCCCATCTTTAAACTTGTGTGTTTTTATTTTTCTTTTTTTTAAATTTAATTTAATCAAACCACAAAACACTTTAAATCTTACAAAATATTATCAATTCGTTAAATATAAATTTCTTCCCCCCCCCCCTCCCCTCTTTTCTCTCCTCAAACACAACCGGCTACTCTTTTCTCTCCTTTTTAATTTTAATATTAACCCATGAGCGCGAACCAAACAAAAATTTTTTTCTTCTTTTCAAATTTATTTTCGATTGCGCGGTTCATAGAAAAAGAAGAAGAAAGGATGGGGGGAATGAATTATTTGTGGTGATCAACCAATATATTTATTTCTTCTTTCTTTCTTTTTAATTATTTTACAGTAGTCGACATAAAGATAGGGACAAGAGTAATTTAAATGAAGATTAACTATTTTTCGGTCAAAAAATACGTTCTATATACCAATCGAAAGCTCTATTTATATCTCAGTTGACATGTTTCTGCATTTTTCATGAAAATGAAAATTGGCCGAGATAATCCGGATCTGCCGGATATACCAAATCCCACAGCCTCGGAAAAAATTTTCGGAAAAAATCTAACAAACCCATTTGATAAAGCATATTTTTGTGAGTATATGCCACAAAACCGCTTAGAAATATCTTTTTCCGGTCCAGAGATATGATTTTTTGAAAATGGCATTTTTCCCTTAAAAATTGAATTTTTTGCGAAAATAGACGAAAAATGCCATTTTCAAAAAATCATATCTCTGGACCGGAAAAAGATATTTTTAAGCGGTTTTGTGGCATATACTCACAAAAATATGCTTTATCAAATGGGTTTGTTAGATTTTTTCCGAAAATTTTTTCCGAGGCTGTGGGATTTGGTATATCCGGCAGATCCGGATTATCTCGGCCAATTTTCATTTTCATGAAAAATGCAGAAACATGTCAACTGAGATATAAATAGAGCTTTCGATTGGTATATAGAACGTATTTTTTGACCGAAAAATAGTTAATTTTCATTTAAATTACTCTTGTCCCTATCTTTATGTCGACGACTGTATCACTGATTGATGCGTAAAAGTCGCAACGGAAGTTTGTTGCAGAGGAGAGAAGAGAGAAAAATAGAGGGAAAGAGATATACTGGCTGTGAGGTGAGGGGGGTGGTTGTCCTTCAAAAAAGAAATTTTTGTTTAGTCTCAAATCTTTTCTTAACATTTATGGGGGCTACAGCCAACAAAACGGGATATCTTTTAATTGTTTTTATTTAATTTTTAATTTTATTTAGTTGCAAAAAATTTATTGATTTTATTGATTAATTTCTAATTTTTTTTGATTTTTGTCGATTTTTACCTTTTCTTTTAATTTTATTTTAATTTTCACCTTTCTCGCCTTCTCCTTTTCATTTTAAAATTTTCCTTTGAATTTAGATTTTTAAACTACTTCACATCCCTGTAGTCCTTCAAAAGGAACGAAAAGGCTGTAATATTATGTGTTAATTAGAGCCCGGAATTTTGGTACGGGATACTGATAAACTCAGCACCTTTTATTACCATTTGAGTATTAAATTAGGGGGGTGTGGCAGAACGGAAAAGTACCAATTTATTTTATAACCATTAAAATCACTCTTAAAGTCTGTTCCAAAATTCTTTTCTGTTTTTGGATGCCACTTCAATTTGATGGCTAATTTAGTAATTATTTAGTTTCATTTAAAATTTCAGTAATTTTTTTGTTAAAATTAAGTTATCTCCAAAACTGATAAAAGGACAAATTGCTTATTAAATTAATTTTACTCTTCCAAATTTAAAAATTAGATTTCACAAAATAATTAAAAAAAAATTTCATTTAGGACAATTAAAAGGCAATTTTAGTAATTTATTTTTAAAATTTAATTTTAATGAAAATAAAAAAATATTGTAAAAATAAGCAACAAATAGTAAAGAAGGGAGATAAAAACAACGGTGTACGGGAAAGAAGCTGCTAATTTGTAGAAGGAAAAAGATTTTTTTAGAATTTTTAAAAATTTTAAATTAATTAAAAATAACAAAAATATAAAAAAAACATAACGCCAAAATTTTAAAAAAAAATCAAAAAAATTTTTCAAACGACCTAAAAAACTCAGAAAAACATCAAAAAAACAACAAAATTCAGACATAACTCCAAAAAAATTTTTTTTACAATTTTAAAACAATGCTTCTTATTGACAGCAGCAATATTAAAAATACAAAAAATAAATTTCAAAATTTTCCAAAAAACTTCTCGGTGCTAAATAATTTTTACTTTATTTTATTTATTTTATTCTCAACTACAACTACCTCTTCTTCTTCATCATTTTTATCTCATTTTAATTCTCCTTTCTCTTCTTCTCAATTTACAGAAAATTTACAAATTAATTGTATGTTTTTTAAGAAGAAGAATTGTAATTAAATATGTAGTTTGAGCTAAATTATACTAACAATAAAACACCCCTCTCGAACAGAAAAAATTTAACGTTCTAGGCTAGCTTTACTGAAAGTAAGAACCAGGGATTGCTTTTTCGTCTTTCTTTTTTCGCCATATTTTCACCTTTTTTCGTGTTTCGTTTTTCGCTTTTTAAAATCTGTTTTGGCATTGGCACAACTTTGATAGGAACGTACGTTGATGTAAGGGTGTATAGTACATTGAGGATGTTGTACAAGTTAGGTCCGACTCTAAAAATTTGAGAGAGTCATACATTTTAAGAATTTCGTACAGTTAAAGAGAGACGTACAATTAGAACCACACCCGTTCAGACCTCCAATCTTTCGTATTCAATCCTCCACTTTGGATATACTGGAGACTGATGTATAAAGTAGGGATGTCACAGTTTGAGAAGAGGGAAAATATTAAATTAAATTTGAATTATCAATTAATTAAATTCCTTCCCAACATAAATTAACTCAAAAATTATTTTTAGTTGTTCCACCAAGATTTAAACAAAATGCTCGAATAAATCAAGTTTATTTGAAATTTTAAAAATTGAAAACAATTTTTTTAATTTTGTGTAGTTTGCCTATCTTGGAGACAGTATTAAATTTAAGTGCAATGCTGTTGGGAGACCTCAACCTAAAGTGCATTGGTATAGAAATGGAAAATATATGAATTATAGGTTATTTGATTGTTTTTGTTGATAAATATAAGGGGGGGAGGGATTGAAAATTATGGGGGGAGGGGGGGGGGGGTTGGGAATTTTTAAATTTTTGTCAAAATAAACTTCAAATCAAATTCTCAGTTATTTGGCCTCCCATTCACGTTTGAAAGAGAAAGGAATGTCTTTGGAAGTTCATAGAATAGAAGTTAGCGATAGAGTTGGTTAAAAAAATTTTTTCAAAATTTTAAAAATTTTTCAAAATAGGGTAATTGGACATGTCGAGTATGGAATAAAGAAGGATCTGTTAGCAGGTAACAGATGCCTTAGAATATAATAAAATTAAAATTCTAAGGAATTACACTTTGCATATTGTTGGTAGGTTATTTTAAATGGATTTTTTTCAAAAATATTTGCTGTGTATTGTTGCACATTTAATGATTTTTAAAAATTTTTAACAAAAATTTTTCTTTAAAAAACACCTCGAATTGAGATACGTTTCCTAAAATTTATTCGGCCACTCGGTGAGATTGGGGAGAGGGGCAGAGGTGGGCCGGAAATCGGAAATGGCTCATAAGTCGGAACTCGAAAATCTGCCTAAATCTTCGGAAATCGGAATTCCGACCCACCTCTGGGGAGGGAAAGCTTTCAACAAGTACTACCTACCCCATATTTAAAATCCCTTCATTATTAGATCCAATTTTTTGTTTAAGAAGTTAACACAAAAAATACTAACAAAATCTAATCCCAACACACAGATTTTTGTGATTATTTCCTAAACGTCGGAATCCACCCCAGCCGAGTCCCAGAAGAATGTCTCTGTCAATGGGTTGTTCAACACAAAGAATCTTCAAACAAAGCAGCAGAGGACCCCTTATTTCATTTAAGAGCTTTACCCCAATTAAGGGCGGATATTGATTTGAGTGGATTTTTAACTAATTTTACAAAATGCCAAAAATATTATAATGAAGGGAAAATTGAAGAAATTGTAAAATTAAGAACACAACCTAGAATTTTAAATAAGCAACAAAAAGAAAATAATCAACAAAGGCAAATTTTTTTAAATTATGCTTCCTCTCATTTATCTGAAGTTACTTAATATATTATATTACATTTAAGCGTCCTAAAAATTTAATATCTATTTCTGTCCTTATCGGTTGCTGAACTGTTGGATTGAATATTTTTGGGTGTCAGTTTTTTACTGACAAATTATTTTAAAATTTAAAGTCAAATTTCTCGAATTTAACCTATATTTGACTAATTATTTTAACACTGTTTGGTCTTCTAACATTTATGAGACTAAAAATAATTGTTTATTTGCTGTGTTTTTTCTAGCCTTAAAAGCACAACCACCACAACTAGCACAACCAACCCAATAACAACTTTTAGTGCTGTGTTGTCCACAACTACCATTCCAAGCACAAAACAACAAAAATTTCGTCCTTCACTTAAAAGTAAGTCTAAAAACTTTTTTTAGACCCAATCAAGTTCTTTGACTATTTGGCCGAAGGGGAAGTGCCAGAACTTGGGCATCTTTTACCAAATTTGCTTTCTGGGTCTTCCCTAGCTTTTCTTAGAAGAGAATTACCTTCAAAATGGCATTCGAGTTTAGATTTGTCGGCAAAAATTGAATTATCTAAACAATTGTTGAAAGGAATGAAGGAAGAAAACTTTCAAAAAAAGGAAGAAAAAGTAGTGGATGAGGAGGAGGATGAAGAAGAATCGGAAGAAGATGAAGAGGAGGAGGAGGAAGCGGTTGAAAGGAAGGAGAGTACAACAAAGGGATGGACGGATAAAAAAAGTAAAATGAGTGCCTCGTTGATTAACAAACAACGTTTTCAGCTACCTCAAAGAGGTACTCCTTTTAATTAATGTGGAATTTATGATGTAACTCCATCCTTAGAGATATGGTGTGAAAATTTGTGTGTTGAAGGTTCTTATTAGATTTAGGGAATAATTTTAATTATTGAACACAGAACCGGATACATATCGCAGTTTATCTAGAAATATTGGCTTAAAAATTTTCTTGGATCTGTTCCGAACCTGGGCAGTTTTGTGGATCCGACCTATTCAAATTCAGGCTCCAGATTCGGAACCGAAGGAGGATATTCTTATAGGAATTCTTCTTTTTATCTAATTTTAACTCTGTATTCCAAAAACAAATTAGTTTTTAGTTGCTCCATACTTCCGCAAGTCTGAAGAAGATACTCGAACAAATATTGTAATTCCAGCAGGAAGAACATTAAAACTTTCATGTAAATAAATTTTTTAAAAATATTCTAAAAAATTTATTCAAAAAAGGCAAAGCAGGAGGGCAACCAGAACCTCAAGTAGTGTGGAGAAAGGGAAATGAAGAAATACTCAGAGAATCGGAAAGCAAAACAGGTTCATTGTATCAATTGCGAAAGTGGAGTTTGGAGTTAGAAGATGCTGCTGAGGCAAGAAAATTTTAAGAGATTTTTGGATGTTAACAGATTTCTGGCAGATTATTAACGATTAATTATTTTTGTAGGTGGACAGTGGGGAATATACTTGTGAGGTTTTCAATTCTGCTGGGTCTATTCTGCGTCGATTTCATGTTGAAGTATATTAAAAGTTTTTACTCCTAAACTAATCGAATTTTTGATAAAATAACGGGAATAATTCATTCCCTCCAACTTAATTTTATTGTCTCTAACTAAATTAAATTTAAAAATTTTATTATTTAAATCACCCTTTAATAGGTTCAAGATAGAATACGTGCTCGACCTATTCTTGTACCCAATGTTCTTCAAAATAGAACAGTTGATGTTAACGGAACAGTTAATTTTACATGCCAGGTAGTTTAAAATACAGAGAAAATAATTTTTTTAATTTTCAAAAATTATTTTCATTTTCTTTAATATTTTTAAAATTCTTGGAAAATTGTTAAAAATATTTTCAATTTTTGTAAATTTCTCAAAAAAATGAGATATCAGAAATGAGAGAAAATACAGTATAATAGTAGCTCGGTGCCTCAATGAAAACGAGCGTTTAAAGAGCTAGTATTTTTTTATTAGAAATTTCAAACAATTTTTTCTCAAAAAGGTCATTTCTGATTTGGTTCCTCACGTTATTTGGATTAAATTAATTAAACAACCAGAAAATGGCTCTTTTTTAATTTGGGATGAAAAGGAACAACGAGAAACTTTAAATTTTGTTGATATGACAGCATTAAAAAATAGAGTAAAAATATTTCACGACAAAAGAAGTAATAGATACACTATGGAATTGAGGAATGTTTCTATGTTAGATCAAGGGTTGTATTCTTGTGTGGTTGGAAATACTCTTGGATTGGTAGGGGGATTTTTTGATTTTGTTTTGTTGTCTTTACTACTCCCTTCTTACTCAATTTTAATTTTTACAAATTTCAATTTTTTCAAAAAACAGTCAATGGGCAATGCAACATTAACCGTCAATGAATTTCGTTCTTTAACATTACCAACAGAAGTTCCAACACCTTGGCCTTTGTCTTATACTGTTTTATTAATTCTTTCATTTTTATTGTTATGTGCATTTATTGCTTTATGTTTATTGTATTTATTTTTCTCTCAAAAATTTTCTGCAAAAAATCGAGTGCAGAACTTGGATAAAATGTCTGTACGGAAAAAGGTAAAATATTAAAACTAATTATTTAATAATGCCTGAAACAAAGTCTCCTGAGGATACGAAAATTTCAATTAATAGTAGCTCTTTGCGCAATCGGTAGAAATGAGCGTTTAAAAAGCTACTAGACTATAGACTATAATACCTATATGAAGAAAGGATCATGATTTTCCAAAAGATTTTCAAAAACATTTTATTGAAATTTTCGTTTTCCTTTCAAAAACTAAAATTTAGATTAGTCAGAATATAACTAAAAGTAAAAAAAAGTAACGAATAAAAGTAGCTCTTTGCACGCTCGGTGAATACGAGCTTCTAAAAAGCTTATAAATATGGAAAAGGCTTAATTTTTCTCTCAAATCTTTTATAAATCTTAAAAATTAATTTATAAAATTTAAAAGGTAGTAATAACTCGAAAACCTCAACGTGAAGGAGAGCATTGGTCTGATCTGGCATCAACTTATTCCATTACTGTAGAACCTGTTCCAGTACTTAGACAACATGGAGGACGGGGGACTAAAGCTACACCTGCAGGAACGAGCGGGACAGGGGATACAGTAAGTAGAAAGGGGATCTGTTGGGAAAAGAGGAATTTTCGAAATCTGTATCCAACAAGAAGTTGGGAATGCAGATAAAATTTTTGTTAAAAAGCTAGTTTAAAAAATTTGAAATAAATAATAAAATAGTTAATATTAAGTAAAAAATAATTTTTTTCAAAGGTTCCATTAATGGATTCCACACAACAATTATTACAAGGGAACATATTAGAATCCTCTCTTTTGTCTGATTATGAAGTCCCAACAGATTCGACTTGGGAAATTGAAAGAAATAGATTACAATATGTCGATATTTTGGGGGAAGGTGCCTTTGGGGAGGTTTGGCAGGCCTTGTTACAGCCAAAGAAGATTAATGAAGATAAGGAAGAGAAGGAAAATAAACAAGAATTGAACAAAGAAATTAATCAAACAGAGCCGGTAAATTGTTAAAAATAAAAAAAAAATAAATTTTAGGAAGGGAAAAAATTTTTATGGGGGTGTGATGATTGACACTCACATTAATTAACGGATTATAAATTGTTAATTTTTTCTAAAAATGTTTTCGAATAATTATCAATTATTAAAGGTACCTGTTGCTGTTAAAAGATTAAAGTCGGCAGCTCAAGAGCGTGAATTAATTATTCTGGCAAGTAATTTTTATTTTAAAAATTTAAATAAAAAATGTTCAAATCTATTTATCATATTCACTATCTTCCCATTAAGTTTTTAGTTTAGAACTAGATTTTAAAAAAATTATTTTCAGGTCTCAGAAATGCAAATACTCAAAACCATCGGTCACCATCCAAACATTCTTCGACTTATTGGGTGTTGTACAGGTTTAGGCCCTCTACTAGTAATTCTAGAACTTTGTGAACATGGAAATTTGAGGGATTTTATGCGAAGACACAGACCTAAAGAACAACAAAAATTAAAAGAGGAGGAGGAAGAGAAGGAAGAAAAAGTGGAGGAAGAAGTGGTGGAATTGGAGGATGATGGACTTGGGGTTGGGGGAATGTATCAGGTTGGAAATATTTATAGAGAGTTTTTAATTAGTGAAAGTGTTTGTATTAAAAACGGATTCTACGATTCCTATTTCTACGATTACCTTGACAACCCCAAATGTGAAAATAGAAGACACAGCCTCCCCTTTTTTGCACCACAGGCGGAATTTTTTTTGAATTCTGTAAGGCTATGAAGCCAAAAATCTTTTTAAAAAGTGAGAGTTGGAGAATAATGGACTTGTGGTTGGGGACATTTTCTAATATTTTTTTAACGCCAAAAAATTAAATTTTTTCAAAAATTCGAACACCGGAATTTCGAAACAACTCTGGTCTAGACTTAATAAGACGAAAAAATATTCAAATATCCAAAAATTTCTAATTTAAAATTTTCAAAGAACGTCTCAATAGTAGACACTACAGGGGGTGACCACCAATCAACACATTTACAACAACCAGAAAAGCAACTAACATTAAAAGATTTAGTTCAGTTTGCAACTGAAATAGCTAGAGGGATGGAATTTTTAGCGAGTAAAAAAGTAAAGAATTTTCTTTTGAAAATTAAAAAAAACATTTTTTAAAGATAATCCATAGAGATTTGGCTGCCAGAAATGTTTTGGGTAAAAAATTAAATTTTTTAGAAATTTTAAAAATTTTTATTTTAAAGTTGCTAGTGATTTGACAATGAAAATATCAGATTTTGGATTGTCTAGAAATGTGTTTTATCACGATTATTATAGAAAGAGGGGGGCTGGTAGATTGCCGATGTAAGTAAAACTTTTGTGAAAAATAATAGTATTCGGGAAATGACTTTTCTGGGATTATGATAGACTGACAAACAATGATAGAGAGTACTTCACCGTTAACGAAATGATTAAGACTAGTTGATACATAATTTGTCAATTATTTAAAATTGACATCCAAAAATAACAGAAAAAATGAGTGAAAACTGTACTAACAAAAAGACCTCATAACTTTAATTAAATTTTAAATTAAATAGAATATATTAAGCAAAATTGTTACTAGTTTTACCCCTCCATTTGAGTGACCTTTCTAATTGTATAAACTTTTAGAAAAAATTTTTTACTAACATTCTTAGAAATGGAATAAGATATCCTTCTAAATAAAAAATAAATAGAATCCTTCAAAAATATTTTCCTCGTTTAGAAAATGGATGGCACCTGAAGCTCTCGAAGCCAATGTTTACACAGTAAATAGCGATGTTTGGTCTTATGGTGGGATCAATTCTTTAAATTTTAATTAAATTTTGTTTTTGAAGGTATTTTACTTTGGGAGATTATGACTCTTGGAGTAAGTTGGAAAGAGTCTAAATTTTAAGGAAAATTCAAAAAAATATTTTTAGGGAACTCCATACCCTTCTATTGCAATGCCCCAACTTTACAATCTTTTAAAAGAGGGATATAGAATGGAAGCACCTCATAATTGCCCTGATGAGGTAAATTTGGAATAATAAATGGGGGGAAATGTCTAAAAATATCCAAACAAATAATTAAAGACAAAAATGTTTTAGGAGATAAATTATTTGCCGTTGAGAGCAAATGTCACCCATATAATCATGATTTCGTCGCGGGCAAGACAATATTTTTGCAATGATGAATAATTTGAGATTTAGGGTTTGGCTTGAATATTCGTCGTGAAGTCCTTTAATAGAGGAGAGATATTACAAACTCCATTTTCGTTCTGGAAATAAACATAGATTTTCATTTTTAATATGTAGTACTTCTCTAAAATAGGAGCGATAACTATTGTTCCCAGAAAATTATTCTCTTAGTGTTTGGATTTTTACTTTTCCAATTTTGAAATTTCATTCAAAGTCTAACAACTCCATCCATTCAAACATTTTTTCCAAACAGATTTATGGTGTAATGGTCAGTTGTTGGCAAGAAAGGCCTGAAGCCCGTCCAGCATTCCAAACTATTGGAGATTATTTTGAATGGATAATAAAAGAGTCTGAAAAGACTGCTGATATTTCGGTTAGAGAATTTTTTTTGAAGAAAAAAATTTTTAGAAAAAATTCAGAGAAGTGAAACAGAAAATGGAGGGGAAACAACAGATGAGGGGCCCTATGCAGTAATTCCTGAAGGCAGTCAGGAAGACAGAAAAGGGCCTGGTGGGGGAGGGAATAATGGAAATGGATTTACTGGAATGAGGATTGGAAATGGGAAAGAGAAAAGTATGTCTAGGCCAATGTCTGCTCCAGGGCTTACGAGTTTTGAGGTGAGAAGGACATATTTTGGATTCTTGGGTTGTCAGTCAGATTAAAACTTTTAAAATATAAATCCAGTTTCTAATGATTGGGTTAACTTTATTTGTCAAATCGGCCTTTAAAAATTTATATATTTCTCCAGTCATTTTCCCAAGAGGGCATAATAGCCTCTACAACAACGGTCCTAACATGTTGTGAATCTTCTGATAATGAAAGTACAAACAACACAAACAGTAGCAGTACATTAAATGCTACTCGAAGGGATGTTATCCAAATAAATACAGACAACAAATCAGAAAGAAGAAGGTCTTTATTGGAACAATTAAAAAAAGTTGTTTGGACAGGAAGTAATGCTAGTAATAATGAAAATAAGTTAATTGAAGTAGAAGATGAAAAGGAAATACAAGAACAAATTAAAAGGAGAAGAGGACAGTTACAACAACAGGAGGGTATTGAAATTAGTGATGAAGCTATTTATAATAATGTAAATTTTGTTTGTTTTTTTTTGAAAGTGAGAGGGAAATTGAAAGGGAAATAGGTCTGAAGAATGTTGAAATTTGTAAAAAAAGATTTTAGGAAAGTTTTCTAAGGAAAAAGAATAGGACATTCTCTTAAATTTTGCCGAGTAGCTTGTTAAACGCTCGTAATTACCGAGCGCGCAAAGAGCTCTAGGATTGACAGTCATAAAAATTACGACTACGAATGAAGGTGGGAGAATAATTTAAGACGACTGAAATATACCTAGTATATAAATAAAAATTGCTTAAGAGTTCCCTTTGAATATAGTAAAACATCAAAATTTTTAATTCCAATTTTCCAGTTCCAACCAGTCTCAAATTTCTACGCAAACACGCCAACTCAGAGCTTGATGTTTCAGCCTTGTTCATCTACAGCAACATTAGATATAGTACAACCAATTAATGAACAATCAAAACAAAATCCTTTACTTCAACAACCTCCACCCCCTCCACCGCCTTCACATACATTACCTCCGACATCCAATCGACCAAAAAAGAAGTCGAGTGCTTCGGAACATGGATTAAGAATACGTGGGGTTTTCCATGGTAATCCTCAAAGAAATAATAGAAAAATACGGGCGAAAATAATACTCCAACTTTATACATAAAAAATAAATTCCCGATTTCGAGAATCGAGTAGGCAAGACCCTTGAATAACCCTAAAATAATACTTTAGAATTAAGTGGAACTGATTGCTGATAGGATTACAAATTCCATCGAATTTCGAGTCGATTTTATTGACAAATTTTGATAGAATTTGCAAGCTATATTCGAATTTTCGATCTTTTGGAAATTGTTGGATCGAGTATCTTTCGAAACAATGCCTTTCTATTGAGGATATCCATATAGAGATTTATGTTCATATTATCTATAAATTCTAGAATTTTCCTCATAATTAAGAAGCTACCTAAACCTTCCATAGGTTTAATGGGGATTGTATGTCTTTTTTGAGCGGAGGTTGCTAACAGAGTTGCTAACAGTTGTTAACAGTTCCACCTTCCGCTTTTAAAAATTCCTGGTTGCCACCATTACTAAAACCGAGGCTTAAAAACGGTATTGGTTATGGTTCCGGAAGCTTTCGAACTATCCGTAGCAGAGCCAAGGAAAACGTTCTGAGCCTTCTTTATGAATTATAATACTTTAAAGGAAGTCAACAATCCTCTACTCAATGCCTAATAAGAGGTTCATCTTCTTCAACTTCTTTCGGTCAATCCCCTCCATTAGACAACAAAATTCCAAAAAAAGTTTTGGTAGACTGGAGATCTTGTTCAATAGATTCTTCGAGTTCTGGACGAGGAGGGTCTTCTGCAATGTCTAGTGCCGATGCTCTTTTAAATGGAAATGAGGAAGAAGAAGAAGGAGAAGAGAAGGGAGGAGATGGAAAAAGGGAAGAATTATTAATTGGAAATAAAACATTGGAATATGTTAGTATTATACCTATTGGACAATTCCCTGCATAAAATTTTTTTGAATTTTATGTTTCTGTAATCAGTGTTTAATAGGCTATAAGAAACTGTGACTGTAAGTGGAGTTCGGATTTTAGTCATAACTTTTTGTTTCATCAATAAATATTACTAAAGTTTTGTATGATTCGAAAGGTCTCTAACTGCGGCAACTTTTTGGACTGTCACATCTGTGTATTTTACAAAAATAAGTGATAAACGACGCCACAAAAGCAGAAAAATTCTGATAAAATCAGTCCAAAGATAAAAAGAAAATCATGAAGGCTACGGTTATACTCTGAATCGACTGCACTGAAATGACCTTACTTGTTTTGTCTAATTCTTTACTACTCTCTTCAATTTAGTTTTCTCTTGTATAAAACTGCAAATTTTCTGATTTTAAATAAAAATTTTTTTACGATTTTTTTTTGTTTTTGGTTTATCAAAATTAAAATGCTTTCTCTGCCAATTGAAGTTCAATTGGATGTGTTGAAATGTCTTAATTTCAACCAATTATTCTCTGTCAAACAAACCAATTTTTATTTTTACAATTTTATCAGTGGACATGAAGTAGTATTGGCTGGAATGAAATTCTCTAACTTTTTATTGGTAAACTTTAATTTTATTTAATCTTCCTTATTGAATATGAAAAGTAGAGAGCGGGCTGGATCTGGATCCAGAGTCCAGATCATGCCATTTTTCAGCGTTCCTTTTTCCTTGACTCAAGGTCAAGAATCTGGTCAAGGTCCTTACTTAAAATCAAGGACAAGGTTTTTTGAAAATCTCGCCCTCTAATGGAAAGAAACGAGAGTTAAAAAAAGTTAAACAAAAAAATAAGCAGATCGGAGAGCTGAGTCGAATGACTTAGAGAAGTTATATCTTTTGATAAGTGTCTCTCCATATTCCATAGTTTTTAATCCTTAATTTCAGACAAACGATATTCGGCGATTAAAGTCGTATAAATTTATTGAACCTCATTCTGGATTATTTGAATTTATTTTAACTGATCAACTTAAAAATAAGGTTAAAAATTAATTTTTCATTAAATTATATATTTATTCTTTTCAGTGGCAATCAGCAATAAATGAATCAATTCCGTTATTTTTAAATGAATTTGGATCTGGCTTGGACTTTTTTATTTGTATAGTTACAGGTGGACAAATCTTTCTTTCATTGCTTCATGAGCTGCTTCTTAAAATCCTTTAATCATTCTCTAAAAAACTTTCCTTTTCAGAGGGAGGGGCAGTACACAGAGAGGGGCAATACACAAACACAGGGGCAATACACATTCTCCGGGATTGCCCAAATTTTTCTTTTTTTGCTTTATTAAAGCCTCATAATTTCCCGAAAAACTCCTATCAAGAGGGAGGGAGGGGGCAATACACATTTCTCAACTAGATTCTTATTTTTTAAATTTTAATTTAGACTATCAACTCTTTCTATTTATCTTTTTTATATTTTTAGTAGACAACAAAAAATACATTTTAAAATTGCCAAAATTTCCCAAAAATATTGAAGAAATAATTATTATTCGTTGCTGGTTAGAACAATTATTTAAATGTGCCTTTGAAAGTGCCTGTTTTAATAAATGTGTTTTTAATCCAGAAATGATTAATATTTTATTTGGCAATAACTCTCTTCATTTCCACATTCAACAACCACAATTATTTCCTTCTTTGGGAATTTCTGGAAATATTTTGAATTTAGCTTTAAATAATTTTAAAAACACGGAGAGGCTTACAATTGATTTCCATTTTGTTGAGAATACAGAAAGATACACAAATATTTTGTTCAATATGTTAATGAATGGAGGCGAGAAATTCCCACAAATTTGTTTAAAAAGTTTTAAGTTGACAGATCTTTATGAACTTATTTTAAAAGTAAGTTGAGGGTAATAGTTTGGAAGTCACCCCTCCCCCTCCACCCTTTTCTTTTCTATTTTTCCCAGTTTTTTCTCATTTTCTGGCAAATTATATATCATTCGAAAGAGCCTTTCGAGCTGAGCTGAATAACATTAAAATTAACGAAAACTGACTTAAGTGAGCAAAGTTATGGCCGTTTATTTTACTCCCTTGCATTGTCACAAAAAATTTTCCCAACAAGGATTTAGCTTCATAATTTTGGTAAGAATGATCAGATCTAGCCAATCTAGGTATCATTCGACCAAGCTCACAAAAAGCTTTGTCGAAAATACATATATAAAAGATTATACATCAAACAAAAAAATCTTAAAATGGTCAGGGAAACGGGAAGGGAAGAAGGGGGAGGGGCGACTTCCAAACTATTACCATGAACTGTCTAAATAAGTTAAAAATAAATTTAAATTTTTAGTATATAACTTCATCGGAAAACTTTTCAAAAATTGTGCCTGTTATTATTTTTGACCGTATTTCCTTTCCAAATTTTCAATTAAACAATCGAGCAGAAAATGTTGAAATTAAAGAATTAAATATTCCTGTAGTCAGATATACAAATTACCAAATTTCAAATATTTACAATCCAAAGGAGAGATTTTCATTTTGCAATAAAGAATGGAATGGATCTGTTGTTTACATTAAAATCAAAAAATTGAAGATTAGAATTTGATAGGGTGGAAAAAGGGAAATTTTAGTTGATTTATTTGACAGAAAATATTTTAAAAATTTATTGTTTTTCATCGACTTTAGATTAAATTGTTTTTGTTTTTATCGAATTTCTTTTCTTTTATAGAAAGGAAGGGGAGTAATTTTGGGTGGGTAGAGCTCTTGGTAATACTTTTGCTGACACCCTTCTAAAAACTAAGGAAAAATACTATTCCAAGAAGGTAAGAAAAAAATTATTCAGCTCTCCTTTTAAATATAAAGCCGAAATTATTTCCCTCAGGTCAAGGCCGGCCAATTTATTTTTGAATACTTTCTAATAAATGTCCGCGCAGTATCCAATTCAATGTGAACACAACAAAACTGAAATTTTATCGTTTTTAGGCAATTGCCCGAATTTTGTCTGTTGCTATTTTCCTTTCTTCATTTTAGCTATAGATGACTAATTAATTATTGACTAAAATTGACAAAAACTGATAAATTTTAATATTAAAACGATGAGTAAATAAAAGCATTTAAGTAAATGTGAACACAACATAGATAAAAAATAAAAATTTCGAAACATAAATAAATTCCTTTCTCAAACCAAAATTCTCTTCCCTTTCTAGTCTGTCAATAAGGCCGACCCACAATTGCTTGAGAAAGGACTTTCCTGCTTACCTGCCAGACAGGAAAGTTTTGTTTTTCAATTTTAGATATTTAATTAATTTAAAATTAAAATGTTTTCTCTACCACCTGAAGTTCAACTTGATATATTAAAATATCTAAATTTCAACCAATTATTCTCTTTTAAACAAACAAATTTTTACTTTTCCAATTTAATTAATAAATATGAGGGAGAATTGGCAAGAATGGAATTCAACAAACTTTCAATAGTAAATGATTATTAAATAAACTTTTCTTCTAACTTATTTTTAAGATTGATACAAACCAAAAGTTAAATTCAATTAACTTAATTAATCTTCAATCTCGGATTTTTGAATTTACTTTAAATGATCAAATTAAAGAAAAGGTTAAAAATTAGTTTATAAATTAAACACAGGTTTTAGTGGAAGGCGGCTATAGACAAATCAATTCCTTTGTTTTTACATAATTTTGAACCGACCAAAAAATTTGTTTGGATTACTACAGGTTTACAAATATTTTTTAGGGCTTCAGGCAAAAATTTAATTCTATAATCCTTATTTTTATAAAATGTTAGAAAGTGCTTTTTTGATATTTTCGAAGTTTGCCAGTTTAAACTTATATTCGTACTTAGCAAACTCGATTTTTCTAAGGGGTAGTGAACTCGATCTTAACCAATCTGTCATTTACATATATTTGAAAATAATTTCTTTGTTATGTCACATCCACAAGGATGTGAAATTGAGGAAGTGATTATAGGAGGGGGGGGGGGGGAGTGAAGGGAAAGGAAGGGGGAGGGGAGAAGGGCAGGGGACCCGTATGTGACAATATTATTTTAAGACAGTTCACTAACAACCCTAATTTTTCTTTCTAGGTAACAGAAAACCTGATTATATTTTAACATTTCCAAATATTCCAAAAAATATTGAAGAAATGATTATTATTCGTTGCTGGCTAGAACAACTATTTAATTGTGCTTTCGAATCAGTCTATTTTTATAAAAATGTGTTTAATCCAGAAATGTTAAATATATTATTTTATAACGACCAAACAATTCCTTCTCTTCAATTTAAAAATCAAAAGGCATATTTATCTGCTACCATCGAAACATTAGAAATTATTTTGAAATTTTCATTGGATCATTTATCAATTTCTGAATTTCTTAGCATCAATTTTGATGACTACGGAATTACAGAAAGTCACACAAATAATTTATTTAATATTTTAATAAATGAAGGCAATAAATTCCCAAAAATTCGTTTAGGAAGTTTTAGGGATTTAAATTTGTATTATCTTATTGTTAAAGTAAGTGTTAGGTATTTTACAAGTTAAAATAAATTTATGTGGTACTTGTGAGTTATCCCAAGCCAGTTCTTGCTGATATATTTATGTGAACTCATTCATATGAACAGAACGGTCAACCCATCTTTCTTCCAAACTTGCACCCTACTTCCTCATTCACTTATTCAGTAACTGATTTTCTTCATCGCCCATGAGTCTGTCGAGAGTTCAATGAGACATTGAATATGCCACAGGGAAATGAAATTGAAGAAGGAAGAAGTCCGTCCGCATAGATATGTCTGAAAGAACTGGTTTGGGATAATTCACAAGTACCATTTATATTTAAGTATATACTAACATCCAAAGATTGCTCTAAAATGGTGTCTCATATTATTTTTGGTTTTTACACTTCCTCAACTTTTAAATTAAATGAGAGAGCAGAAAAAGTTGAAATTAAACATTCACATAATATAAAATACACAAATTACCAAATTGCCAATATTCACAATCCAGAAATGAGATTTGCAGTTTGTA